TCGACCCGTAGCGTGGCCTCCGCGATCTCCAGACCCATGTGATTTTTTTCTTTGGGGAGAAATGAAACGCTTAGTGTACAAAACTGAAGTGCATACGGTTGACGAACTTCGTCTCAGAATTGAACAAGCTGGTGCTTTCATTCGGGGGAGGGACTCCATTCTCAAAGTCTGCACCGATGCTTGGCTACGTCGAGCACGCACTTGTGTTTTTGATTCAAACGGCGATAACTAACAATACCTAAAGTACATTTACCTAAAAACTGAAAACGCGGCAACGCTGTCATATTTGTTACCTCTGTTCGTGGTCTGCACCACCGCCTGCGTCTGCTCGGTAGCGCATCAGCTGATTTCATTTTCTGTTGGAGCGGTATGATTTCGGGCAGAAACGTACTTAGCCCTTCTCGTCAACTGGAGAGTGAGTACTTTTTCCTTTATTTTTTTTACTTGGTCGCCCTCGTTTCACTACATATTACCTTTGTTATTTCAAGGGTAGTTGTTTCTGAAAATGACAACCCCAACTTTGCGGACACCCTGTACTTCGAGAGGCTTACTCAAAATCCTTCTACTGATCTTTCTTCGTTACCAGTTTAACAGCGGCATCTATATCTAAAGTTATTGACTTTTGACTGTCCCTATTCAACAGTTTTTACTTTGACCGTTTGTTTCCCCAAAGTAGTAATAAATGAGACGCGCATTTTTTCAACTATCTACTTTTACGGAAGCGGTTCGCATATTTCAGAATTGTGCTGCGATACACTCTCATCTTTTCGTGACGATGGACTTTTCAGTCCTAAATTCAGTGATGTATTTAGTTAGTTGGCCATGATATGTTGGATGAAAATTATAAAGAAGTAAAAATGTAAGGTAAAACCCGATCATTAAATGAAAATTTTATTGATGGTAATAACAATAATTATAAATAAACAGAAATAAATCAAAGCAGCTGTTCAAAACGTTCTCCGTTATTTTGTAGGCTCTTCTCTGTACATTGTTCTTTGCTCGGTCTGTTTCTCTTCTTCTCAGTCCTTTAAACTCTGTTGGTATCAATTTGAGGTCTGGTATACGAAACAAATGAATAATCTGATAATTTCAAAGCCTATCTAGGAAATTCTGCTTTTCAAGAAATAACTTAGGTTTGGCAATGTTTGACGTATTATATATTTTTGGAATCAAAATTAAAAACTCTATTCAGCTGTGTAAAAATCCAGTATGGCGTCTATAGGAAAAAATTAAGTAAATGCTGCAGGACAGGAGACGAAACTTCATATTGAAATTCTAATTATGCCTTCTTGTAGAGGAGAAAAAGTGGCAATGTTAATGGGCAATGTATTTTCATATCGCAATACAAATAAAGTCAGGAAGACATTAAAACGACTTTAGGAAAATTCTGAGCGGTATTTTGTTGATTTTATCTAAATTCGCAACTTTGCCCCCGTTCAAGATGCTTCGTATCTCTTACCGTTTCCGAGATCCCAGTGGTAAGAGTCGAATTTGAAACACCCGATATAACAAAAATCGCGACAATGCAATTTATTTAGAACACTGCCTATTTCTTAAAATCATTTTAATATGTCAACTAAAACTAATATATATGAGACCGATATGTTTGTATAGCATGAAATTATTTTAATTCAGCTTATCCAGTTTTACAAATTTCCGGCAACAGCGCTGAATAAGGATTATAACTTTACGGAATAAGGCCCCTATTCTTCGTAACCAACCCAGCTTTTTGGGATTATTTCGCTACTGCTCAAATTATATATTAATACCACTAAAAACTCTCTAATAAGAAGATATAGTTAGCCGCAAAAGGTTAAACCGCTTATAATTCGGAAACGGTTAACTGGTAGTTTGTAATTCAGAATGATCCAAAAAACTTAAAAGTACTTTAGTGCGAAAAAAGTATACTTTTTGTATTTTGTTTAAAAAATCAACACAATTTTCACCATATTATCGCCCGGCAACAGACTACTCAACTAATGTTATCAAATCGAGTCAGACTATCTCCCACGAATGCAAGGTTTTCCTCGTTAGATTGGAAAACCCGGCTGCTGAGACGTCGATATCGATCTATACATTGAAGTTGAAAGACCTTAATGATAGCAAATTGTCCGTGCATAAATGGAACTAGTTAACAGTGGTGGTAGGATTACATATAATTTAAACTTCATTCATCATTGTTATAATTGTTCAAGGCCGTAGACAGCAGCAGTTAACAGATTATTTCATAAAACGATGATACTGACGATGTTATATAAGCATTTGTACTGGTTGTACAGGTACAGAATAGAATTAATTTATAGGTTGTAGAGATCAGACTACATTGTTATGCCTGATGTGATTTGAATTGCAATTTGGTAGACATTTTGAGTTTAATAGTCTGTGATGGAGGATGGTGACTTCTCGATAACAAGTTTATTGAATGAAAATGGGACCGATTCTACGGAAGATTGTCAAATTTTGGGTATTTGGCCAATCAAACAAACCCAATTTATTGTACTGGCAAGATCCATTTATAGTTATTTCTTGTTCTTGTATATAGGAGTAGATAGATATGAAAATAGTTTGAGTATCCAGATGTATTCATAAAAATCCAAAATGTACAATAGCTGCAAGAACCGAATTAAGTTAAGCTTATTTATATAATAATTGTAATTTTTATTTGGAAGGAAAGAGCTTTGTTATTATCTGTTCATCAGTTATTTATGTTATAGTTATATTAATTCATTATTGAGACTTATTTTTATATTTCACGCCATTCACCAATGTACAAGGAGTATTCATTCCTGTGGGACTCACATATATTCGCTTATTTCTTGATTTTTTATTTATTTTATACCGTACTGAATTGTGCCAGTAACTTATGCTATACTAATATTGAACAGCCTAAAATAAGAAAATTATCTAAATAAATTAGATATCTCTTTTTTGGAAGTATATAACGCTAATCCATGCTGGTCTACCCAAAAAACTTTTTACAGGAAGTAGTTTCATGGAAATCCGACCAACTATGGCAACACCGATTAGGTGGTTGGTCCTTATTGCCAGTGGCGTATCTTTAGTGGGTTACCGTCATTGGCACCTTCAGGCCCCAGGCCAACCACATTTCCACCAAAAAAGGGAACATGTCGCTGTCCTTGTTACCTTGCTATACTTGGGTACCAAAATGGAAGACAGTAGGATAACGCACCGTACTTGGATACACCGCGTTAACAATGTGGTATGATGCAAGGTGCTACTATTCTATTTTGGTACCCGACTATAGACCTGAATCGTGCTTACCATGTAAAATATATCGAGAAAGTATACATTTCTATTCAATTCGTCTCCGCTTGAGAAATATGTCAATAAATTACATTTAATGCAAACAAATTTTAGAGTGCTCTCTATAATCTAAAAAGTCATATGATTTGAAAAATGTGTTTCACTTGATGCAATCAAAATGTAAATGAAAGAATATGTCAATAAATTATCTATTCTCATATTCCTAGCTTTTAAAGCATACTAAAACGTCAGTAGCCCTTACTTAATTCAGTTAGTATACCTGAACTAACCCGAACGAAAGGTGGCCACATTGGAATTTTATTTTTGTTACTCTTGTAATCGATTGTCACTGGGCTATCACTTTTTAAAAGTTATTTGATTTTAAGACGGGTGTTGGTAAAATGTCAATGATTAAGAAATGATTAAGTATTTTTAAGCAACTCATACTCCTTCTATGTCATCTGCCGTTTTGACACACAGTGGAAAAATTTTGAACGCGTCATTCTTTGTCCCATGGTTTTGACTTTGCGAGATTTTGTCGAATGTCGATTGCGAGATTCAAGAAGGCACTTTTGTGTGACATTTAAGCTATCTCGCATGCCACATTCCATTTCGGAAAATCGTTTTTTATATTGTGAATTAACAAAGAATTAGTCAAGCAGCAATATGTGTCAGAGCCTTAGAATCATTGGTCGACAACTGGCCGTTCGACATGCCGACAGTGTCTGTGCAAAATGAGGTATAAGCAATAAAATTCCACTTCAAAGATTATTTTGAGATACATCTCCTTGAACTATTTGATCGTTTATATCTGGATGGCACACTTCTAAGTAGTTTCAGTGTTTTATGTGCCTAAAGTACACATCCTACAGTTATTTTAACAATACAAATGTACGGGTTTTATGATTGTAAAAAAATTGGAACAATTATTATCAACATAAAAATGGCTATAAAACTTAGTAGTCATAAAGTATATATATTTCACATTTTCGGCGGTTCCGGTTGTACAGGGAGTTGATGCTGAATTATCTTGGATAAAACACCCTGAATAATATTGAATATTTGGATTACACAAATATTTTTTTTATACTTCAGTTACCCGTGGGTACCGCTACTTTTTGAGTAACTATGACCCTTGCCGTTCTACGTGGGTATGGTATTTATATAGCATTGCTTATATTTACTACGCGAAGACCCAAGTGAGTCTCAGATTAATGTAGGCAATCATTTGTGAGATTGTAGTGATAATGAAGTAATTTGAAGGCAGCCCTAGATTCTGAATAACCTCCTTTAGAATCTCGTACGGTATGTCTTTATGAGCTTCCTTTCGGAAATATGTACTTCCTTGACAAGACAGCCCTTGGAATCATATTTATAGACGTTCCTTGAGAATTAACTGCCGTTTAAGTAATGACATCTCCTTGGCTTTTAAATAAATAATAACGGTTCTTTGAGAGATCCAAGGAAAGTTAAATCCTTTATATTGCACAGTACGTAGGATGTAACGGTTGTCATCTACCATATGTCAGAAAGATTTTTCTTCTCTGGCCTTATTTGTGTATGACAAACTTTGGGCAGTTTGTTTTTTCGTGTTAAATTTTAGTGATCAATGCAAAATAGTTATGAAAATTGTATACTTTTTTGATTTTATCCCTAATAACAAACCCACAGAGTGGACCTAAATGAATATAGGATATTGCTTCTTGTGAAGTATATTCGACACTCTTAGTACAGATTGAAAATTATTTTACTCCCGATCTGCAAATTAATCGCCGGTTTTTCATGATGAATATACTGAATAAAAAAAACTTGAAGAAGAGTGAAAATAACTCCTGTTATTACACGCTTAGAATAGCGTTGCCAAAATCGACATTGCAAAGATTTCGTAGAGACTATTGTTATTTTCCCAGTTGTAATATAAGCACTTAACTTACTCCTGCTTGATGTTTTCCCATGATTTTACTTTTCTTATAAAAGATCCTTGAGGACTTATTCCAGGCACTGCTTTTTAAAATAGAGGAGCTGGCTATTTTTATCTCCAATTATTTCCTTGAATTTGTGTAGTATCTCTTGTCTACTCTTCAGCATGTTTTCTTAAATTCATTTGTACTCATTATTATGAAAAACCGTCGATCGATAAATTTGCAGATTATCAGTAAAATAATTTATAAACTGTATAAATACACTCATACTGTCAAGCGTACTTAGAAGCTGCAATGCTGGTTGCCTGTATTCATGCATCACACGCACTCTAGCGAGGGAGCACATGTGAATGAGACACATTCTGGCCCTACCTCAGAGATCCTCCGGGTGGTACCTCCACTTTCGACAGCCGGAGACCGTCTACTGCCTACGGACAGTTACAACATCCATAGCCAAGAAAAATTCTCGGGGGATAGGATTCGAACCTGCGCAGCTTACGGCGACCGATTAGCAGACACGTTGCTTGTACCGGCACTTAATCCTCCAGGAACGTGTATAAACTATAAATTTGACCCGTATCCACTTTATATTTACGGACGGTGGCTGATAAACAACAGTATTTTGAATATCCAAGACGCTTAGGGTCCTCCTTGCTCCTCCCTTAGCGGGACGACATGGCATCATCACCAGCATCCATAGGCAAACTAACCTATTAAAATATATGTTAGCAGAAATTTCTAAGCGAATATAACTATCCAAGATTTCTAATCAGATATGACGTAATTCCCATTGCTTTAAATGGGTTAAAGCAACACTAACGTTTTGTAAAAAGTGGAATACCGTGTCCGCACTAGGATTGTGCGTTTTATTTTGACTGACATCACGACATGCGAATTTCACGATATTAACTTAGGTTAAGGTAGTTATTTAGTCCTACTATGACAGAACAAGCAAATGGAATATTATTTCGGAATTTCTGGTCCCTCAGAAGTATTTTTTGACCTCACTGTGAACAGATCGTAAAGTTGTCAAACTTCGATGTTTGGGTACCTTACAATTCTGTTTTATCCTAAAAATGTTTTTTGATTCCACTCAAATATTATTAGAAACTTCAAAAACATCGAGCAACAAAGTTTGGCAGCATTCTGATATCGATCGTCTTCACTCAAAAGTCTGCGGACACTGAACAGAAAACCTACAAAGAGTATTTTAAGAATTTTATCAAAAGCGCTAAGCAGACCGACAGCACTTAGTGACATGGTTTTTTGTGCTGTTCATGGAAAAAGTATTTCAAATTCGATTTTTTTTCACGCCAATTGACAAAACTTTCGATGCGGTGGAATATACTAACGAAGCTCTTTCTTTTGTATTTTAAATTAGTAGAAAAACAAAAACTAACCATCAAAATTCTTGTTTTTTTCTTTCATTATCTGTTTGTTTTATTATTTCTTTCATTAAACATTTTGTACATGTACTTTTTCTTTTATTTAACTTGAAATTCATGTAAAGGCGATAGAAAAAATAAGAATTCTGGGGTTAATTCGCCACTTCCCTGAGACCCTAACTTGTGACGTCACTTGTACTCTCACAAGTTTGAGACTCGGGTATTGGCGGTTAAACGTTTCTTCACTTTAGTTTTAAGAAGCGTCCTCAATGCACGCCACTGGAGTCTGGTGATGTTTTAGGTTAGGATGTTGCCAGATTTCAACCTTGATTGTCCACTACTATTAGGCGCAAAGCTCTGACCTTACTTACAGGATATACAGAGCTTTGTGAAATTTTTATTTTTCTGGAAAGTAGTGGAAAGTCGATACTGCCTATTGACATGAAAATCAGACTTTTAACAAAAACTGCACAATTGTTATTTTTTGTTGAAATCATGCGAACAGTGGGATGCCTGAAAACTCAAGAGGCTTCCTACAGAGTGCTCCCCGCCCAAAAAGAAGAATGTTTTTAAAATTTTATTTTTCATTAAAGTTTGGCTCCTAGTACAGGCTTCGCGGGCATTCAGGTATATAGTTGTAGTCACCGTTCTTGGCCGGTCAAAGTAAGACTACCAGTATTCCTTTATATATCTCCATCTCCCACATACATACACATGCAACCTACCCCTGTGTGTGAACGTTTGTTCGGTAAGGTCAAAGACATACGTTTTTTAGTTGTGAGTCTCAGTCTCGAAAACTTTGTCGTTAGTATGAGTTCCCTTCAATGATATTTGTTAGAGTGACAACTTCCTTGACCTCGGCGTGCAATTTGAGGTGTCCTGTTATCTATCTTCAATATAAATTGTACAATGCCCGGAAATACGATCAATGGAGAAAGCCTATAGCTCGTGCTAGATTTATTAGAGTATTTCCGGAAAGAGAATGAAAACAGCGGTCCCTCGTAACCCACTTCTTGCGTACTGGAGTTAGTTAAGAAAATTACCGCCTATGGTACGGAGACTCGATCTGTTTACTTATTACATATGGCGTTGATGATGTAACCGCCAAGAACGGTGACTACAACTATACCCCTGTAAATTGTATCTAGAGAAATTATTGGTGTTTTCTAGTTCGATATTGAATAATAATCGATGTACTTTTTTTTGCTTAAATGTTGCCTAATATTGCTGTACTATCAGCCAGCGGGTACGTTTACTATTCATCATCCGCCGGATATTGCTAAATTTGGTACGTATTTACGATGTTTTGAACATATAAATAAACTTAATGAGAATTTGCAATTTGAGGATGTCTGTATGATAAAATGTAGACTTCTTAAATTATTCTTACATTTTACTCCAAGTCCGACCCATACTGTGTTTGTTAACGCACTTCTGTCAAGTGAGTCTTAACACTCTTAACCTTACTATTTTGCTTTCATGTAAACAAACTTGGAGAAGAACTTTGAAAAACGAACGTTTAACATATTTTCAACATGCGAGTGATTCAACATGGATAATATGGATAACGAAGAAATAACAATGCTACTAAAATATCCCATGATGAGGAAGACTGTAGAAAATGGAGTAGACAAATATCAGGGAGTTATTGACGTTAATGTAAGTTTTAAAAATGTGATGGATATTAGATAAATTATGTGTTTATTAGGCTTTCGATAATTTCTCGGCATGAATTAGATGTAACCCTCTCTTTTCAAATTCTTGTTGTATAAGAGTTTCTAGGTTAGGTTTCTTGAGAATGCATCAATAACGATCCTCCACTGCGACTCTTTGGTTTATTGTGGCTCACACCTATTTAAATTGCCCCCAGTAGCTCCGATTTCCTGAGGAAGTCGATCAACTTGTTTGGAGAAATCAGGTCTTCTGCTTGGAGTACTATGTCTCCAAGTATGTTGTACAAGGTTTATCCCCTGGACTGTGTGAATGTGCCATCTGGTCGACCCCAGCTCCTGTCCACAATCCTTGGAGAGGATCTTGTAGACCCTAGCACTGCTCGGTGCATGTGATATGCTCTCGCAGAACCTTTTCCATGACTCAATGTTGGCTTTGCAGATCACTTTATTATAGTCGGTTAAGGCCCTCCTATACTGGTCCCACTCACCAGATAGTTTGGCCTGGTTAAAGAGTTTCCAAACCTCTATCCTTTTCTTATTAGGACTGTTATTCTACCAAGGCGTACTCTGGTTGTCTTTTTTCGCCTTGAGTAGACAGTTGTACTGATAGGCTGAACTAATGGCCTGCGATACCCGTTTCGCCTTGAAGTCCAGTCGATCTTTATTTGTTATGGTCCTACCACAGGAATGCAGGTTTTGCTTCAGGGTCGTTTTATATCCATCCCAGTCCATATTCCTTACCTTGCTGTAGTATACCATGGGTCTTACACCCGTTGCAATCTCAAAGCGAATATGTCGGTGACCAGAACACGAGGGTTCCGACGTTACCCGCCAATCTTTGATCATGTTGCTTAAATAATTAGTGCTAATTGTCAAGTCAAGTACCTCTTTCCTACTTCTAGTAATAAAGGTAGGCTCAGCGCCTTTATTGTTAACCACTAGTCCCTCCACTAGTTAAAGAGAGACCTCATTGTCAACATCTGTACTCGCCCAAGCCGTGTGATGTGCTTTGGAGTCGCATCCTAGTACAAGGTGCACGTTCTTCCTCCTGCAATGGTCGATTAAGTTCCGCACCAGTTGGGGAGGTGATTCTTCTGCATCCTCAGGAAATAGGCAGAGGTAATTACAACCTCTACTTTGTCTGGTAGGGTCAGGTGGTTGGACAACCATGTCCCTATCGCAGAAGTCTGTGAGAACAAAGTATTTTACCAGTTTTCCTGGCAAGGATGCATGCCCTCGGATTGGGTACTGATGGTGGTGCTATTACCTTGCCAGATATTCCTCCAAGTCCGAATACTTGACCTATGTTCGAGTTCCATGGTTCCTGGATAAGGGCGATATAAATTCCGTCCCTTTGGAATGTGGCGCCAAGGACGTTTGAGGCAGTCTTGGCATGTTGTAGATTAATCTGCAGCAGGCTCAGAGATTGAGATATTATGCTGCAGAGCTACAACTTCCTGGTGGATCTCTGTCCCCACCAGGACCCCGTGGCGGTTTAGGTTGGCCTTTGGTTCTTTTGTGTGCCCCAGGACCTCCCTTCCCCTTCTTGGGGTGGCTGTCCCTCCTGCTGTTACTGTCGACGCATCACCGGCGGCGGGGGCTGTTGGGGGATTAGTCCCGTGTCCCGGATGCTGTTCCCTGAGCGCTCGGCCTCAGACGAAATGGGGTTTAGGAAGACTGCCCCCTTTGACAAACTTGACCTTGGCGCCTTCCCAAGGGTGGAGGTGCTTTGCCGCACCTTCAAGCCAGTTCAGGCTTTCTTTGTCCACACAGGTGATTTGTAGTCCTCCAGGTCTGTGGATACAGTCCTCTGTGGCGGGTTAACCCCCCCTAGAGCTTCCCGCAATCGCTCCATACGTCGGAGCCTGTCCACCACTTCTTGGCTTTTTCGGTGCCTGTTCGGGAGTGCTACCTTCCGAACGGGGCCGCTTACTGCAGCCAGCAATGGAGACGACTTCACGACCTCCCTGTTCCTGACTGCTGCAGCTAGCTGCGTTGGACGATGGAGGTTTTCCCCAATGTCCTTCGCTGATTCCCCCAGGATTTTCGTAAGCGCCGCCTCGTAAGGCATGCCGCTTTTGAGAAGCGCTCTCAGGCGTCTTCTCTTTGCACCCGGGAATCTTTTCTAAGGCTTTTTCGCCTTAGCGTCTGCCACCTCTGGCTTCGGAGAGGGGTTCACTAGTTCCCTCTCCTGTTCAGAGGTGACAGACAGTGGAGTCATTTCCCTCCTATCAACTGACAGGGGTCAGCTCGCCCTGAGGAGCCTATGTCAGAGTATCATCCTCTGACGCCCCAGAGAACGATTCTTCTCCCTGCTGTGATGGAGATGACGGCCAAAGATCGCCAATCTCCATTGGTTGTTCCTCCAACGGAGGATCGAGGTTTTGACCCGCCTCGATAGGGTTGAGGTTTTGTCGTTGGTGCATGTTGTTTCCACGAATATTGGTATTGTACGCAGAGCCCCATACGTACAGAAGGTCAAACTTACTCCGGAATTCGGCCCGGTGTTCCGGAGGGTCCGTTCACGATACCGATTGCCCCCGGCACCAGCAGTCTCACACCTTGGATTCGGGGTTTCTCCAGGCCAGATTAGCCGTCCCTCTGCTCCTCAAGGGAAATTTACTCCCCCGGGGGGCAGAGGATCCGTTGCCCTCTCCACACGGTTGTGTACAGGAAATACCTTCCCGCACACGAACTCGAGGACGATCTGTTTGGACTTTGTGGAGCAAGAGTCTCTAACAGGCACATCAGGGTTTTTTTCACAATAACCTCTGACAAGCACCCAACTTCTAGCTAAGAGCACTTTGAGATCAAGTAATCTTTCAAACAAAGGGAAATGAAATCTAAAAGGTAGACACAAATTCACAAAGGTATAAAACACGGATATTTACATTGTAATAACTAGGGACTGACAAATACCAATATGAATAACGGCATATTGGCAATATCAGCCTAATTGTGTCTATATATAAATCAGGCAATATAATATGACTGCTCATATGCCAGTTTGTGCTAACTGATACAGCTAATATTGTGTAGTTTAACGCTAAACATATTATTGACCTGGCAAAAATGAGCTTTTGCATTGAAAATGAGCTTATCTTATTGCTTTTGTACATTTAACTTGATGAAAATTTCTATTAATTGTATAAAGTTAATATTTTTACTGTGTTTATTTTGAGTAATACTTGTTATGACAACCTGGAACCATAAGCTATAGCACCCCAAACCCTAACTCCAACAGTGTGATGAACATGTCTTTCAACAAAAAACTGTGGATTCCTCCTTTCACCACGTCGCCTTCTAACCCTGGCACGACCATCGTGCATGCCTAAACAAAATCGAGACTCGTCACTAAAGACAATACTGTTCCATTCCTGATCCCAGAGTAACCGTTGTATGCACCACTCAAGGCGATTACGTCGGTGTTCCCGAGTTAAAGGGAGGACCCAGTGTGGCTGGTATGAAAACAAGCCAAAACTTCTCATTCGTCGGTAAACACTTCGCATGCCAATAGGTCTTCCGTGTTCTGCAAACCATTCATTTGCAATGGACCTGGTAGTGGAGAAACGGTCCCTTAAGGCCAATAATCTTAGGCGGCGATCTTCACGGTCTGTTGTTCTACGGCGGCGTCCAGTGCCCCTTGCTCTTTGCGTACGGCCTTCTCGAAGCCATGCCTGACAACACCTAACCACAGTGTCTACACTTCTTTGCACTCTAACTGCAATTGCCCGAAAAGAAAGTCCAGCTTCCCGAAGTCCCACTATACGGCCCCTATCAAACTCACTAAGTTGATGAAATCGTACAGGTCTCCGTACTCTAGGCATCGTAACCGATCGTAAAGGATGTCAAGAACCAAAATCCGCCAACGTTGATTCTTTACTGCGGCTGAAATATTCATTTTTAGAGCGTTAGTGAATTAAAAAAAAGCAGTATAAAAACCGGAATGTCCAACTGATAAGGCTGAACATTTTTTCACTTGTTATTTACAGTAAGATAAATACAATCACCAACTTTTATTAAAATAAAACCATTTAAACTGGGTGTTCGGATTTATATGTCACTTAGTATATATTATGTTGTGTGTGTGTACAAAATCCTATATTGGCCAGTATTTAGTAAGGACAGCATGGTGCCAAGACATTTACCAAACTGTGAACTAGAATTTACATATGGTTCTTTATAGTCAAATAATACTAGATTTTTTTATTTCAGGAGACCATGTACAAAGTTTGTGTTGCTGAATCAGACAAGGGTTGCACATTGAAGCTACCAAGTGAACTTGTTCATTTACAAGATGACTTTATTACCCTACAATCTACCTTACATCTTAAAGGTGTTGTATCCTGTTTAGATGCACTAAAAAACCTCATAGAGGACAAGATCCCATCCAGTGCTCCAGCAAATCACTGTGATATCTACATCCAAGTACTATTTGAATATTCTGAATTCACCAAGTTCTATGTAAGCCTTAAGTCATGCTACCTCCATCATGATTTGAGCAAAATAAGCGTGAAATTGTTAGACGAACAAAACAGAGAACACTCAGTTGTGATAAAAGTTAACTACAATGGAAAAGAGATATTTGAAATATTAGAGTATGATTTGCCAGTGGAAAAAGATAAGTTAAAGTCTTCTTCAAGCCTTAGAGTTGTATATGACAATTTTGCGGGACTTGTGAGCGAGTTGCAGACTTACTTTCAGCTAATGGAAGAGTTTGATAGAAGCTGTTTTGTAATAGATCCAGTTGATCAGAAATATAGGCACAACTACAGGAGAATTTGGTTGGGTAAGCTGAAGATAGCAACCTGATATTGCATTTCGGCCTCCAAAAAATTATCTGAGATGAAATGAGATACCATGACGTCATCTATAAGGATTTGTTACACATGAGCTTGGCTACAGTGCTATCTTTGATTCATAACATGTTCAAAGGAGATTTCTAACGAATCCTTATAGATGACGCCGTTGTATTGTATTGTAAAGGGGTGACAGCACTGTTAGGGCATAAACAAAGTAATTTTATATTTTTTTTTTGTGAAAGACAGTGTAATGAAATAGTCATCTTGGAGGAAGTTATTGCACTTTTAGTTAAGTCACAAAAAAATATCATAAAACAATATTCAAAAATTGCTCCACCGCAGCAATTTTTGCGAGGTACATAGAATTTGAGGCACTCTGCGGCACGCAGTGTAGTTGCTACAAACTGGGATTTAGAAAAAACAACTTATTGTAGTTTCAACTGGGTTCTGACCCACTCACAGAATGTTGAACAAGTTTTGTCGATTATTTTCGAATAAAAATATTTTGTTCTGCAAGTGCATAAAAAACAAATAAATGGACGATAACGCTGTTCAATAAGCCGTCGACCTGAAATAAAATTAATTTTATCTATATGCTATTTAGTTTCTAGATTAATAAATGTATTATTGCACAAATAGCAATGAAACTTAAGAACTAACAGTATAAAATTCTCATACTAGACTTTTATCTTTGCAGATGATAACCTGTCAATGATTGTTACAATCAATCCATTCAGAATGTGTCAGATACCAGAAATAAAATTCTTGGGTCCTGATAGTCTTACAGAGTCCTACTATTCAAATATAAACAATACTATCTTGGAATGGGATGCAAATGGAAATATCTTTATAGAGATCATGAAATTAATAGGTAAGAAATAACTTGCTGATATACATATTAAAGATACAATCATTTTCTTGCCTTGTTATCTAAAGATTTTTAACAGTTAATAATGTTCATTCAGTCATATACATAAGATCGATATATTTCAATTTAGTATAGACCATCGAAGTAGCTGTGACTGTACTAAAATGTTTTTCATTACACGGTAATCAACAATAGCTGTCTTTTTACCGTCATATTACTCAATAGTTGTTTTATCTTCAGGTTTGGACGATTATCCACAGAAACCTGAGACTGCTATAGAAGAAGACATCTTAGTAAATACCGGAGATTGTTGCATCTGCTTTTCTTCCAGACTCAATGACAAGCTTCCAGAGGTTGTTTGTAAACATGCATTTTGTGGCAACAGCTATCATGTGGAATGCCTATACGAGGTACAGCTTTTTATAACCAACCAACCAAAAAACTATCAGTTTCACTTCATCCATATCAAATGTCACCCTTTACAGCAAAATATCGCCAGTCCTTCTAGGCGTAATAGTAATGAACTTCAAATTTATGATCATGTATTAGAATCTTTTTCTTTTATACTAAGTGACATATATACGTAAATCCGAACACCCCGTTTAAATGGTTTTATTTTAATAAAAGTTGGTGAATGTATTCATCTTACTGTAAATAACAAGTGAAGAAATGTTCAGCCTTATCAGTTGGACATTCCGGTTTTTATACTGTGTTTACCGACGAATGAGAAGTTTTGGCTTGTTTTCATACCGGCCACACTGGGTCCTCCCTTTAACTCGAGAACACCGACGTAATCGCCTTGAGTGGTGCAGACAATGGTCACTCTGGGATCAGTAATGGAACAGTATTGTCTTTAGTGACGAGTCTCGATTTTGTTTAGGCATGCACGATGGTCGTTTCAGGGTTAGAAGGCGACGTGGTGAAAGGAGGAATCCACAGTTTTTTGTTGAAAGACATGTTCATTACACTGTTGGAGTTATGGTTTGGTTCCAGGTCACCTTTAATCTTCATCAGAGGTAACATGAACGCGCAGCGTTATATCCACGAAGTTCTAGAACCCCATCTTTTACCCTATCTTGACACCCTGGCAGATCCAACTTTCCAAGAAGTTAATGCCCGACCACATGTTGCAAGAGTTACAATAGACTTCTTTCAACATAATGATGTCACATTGTTACCATGGCCACCAAGATCTCCCGACTTATCCCCAATTGAGCACGTGTGGGATATGATGGGTAGGAGATTGCTCAATTTGCAACGTCCTCCTCGGACTCTAGAAGCACTTCGAGAGGAGTTGGTGGTTGCCTGGAATGAGATACTACAGGAGGACATTGACCACCTGATCAGAAGCATGCCTAGGCGCGTTGGAGAATGCGTAGCACATCAGGGTGCATCCACACATTATTAAAGGTCAAAGGGCTTTGAAGCAGTGCAATCATTTTTAAATTTTTATCATTTACTTATTATGCTTCATTAAGTACTTATACAAAATTTTATTAAAATAAAACCATTTAAACTGGGTGTTCGGAATTATATGTCACTTAGTATACTTTCCTAATGACAGACTTTGTAATTACTCAGAATGTCTTATTTGAAAATTAATGAGTTATTTCTTTTTTCCAGTGGCTAGTTTCCGTGAATGCAAGAAAAGTGTTCTCCAACATCGTGGGGCAGTGTTTGAACTGTGAAAAAAATATATCCTGTCCAATTCCAAGTTAGAGTGGTTTTGTTCGCAAAGTGTGTTAAGGCCGCACGCCCCTTTTTTCCGCTTTCTCTTCAACTACCTGTTTGCAGCAGTATTCTAAATCCTTTTCATCTAATTACTTCATGATTTGTATAGAGATGACTAAAAATCATCGATTTTAATTTTGTTTTGTTATAAAATGTATTTTTTGCATTTTATTGTTTATTTTTTCTTCGATCGTAACTTGTTAATATTACACAGCTCTGAAATTGTATGTAAATATTAAACTTTTATGGATTAATGAATTAAGTGATTACTTTTATCTTTGATTTTCTTGAAAGCACAACTTCCTGCGAGACGAGGCTTCAAGAAAATCAAAGATTTTTGAAAAGGAAAAGTGACAAGAACAAAAGGAATCACTCGTTTCATTCTTCCATAGAGTAGAGCTGTACTTATATTTGTTAACAAGTTCCGATCGAAGAACAAATGCACAATAAAATGAATTTTTTGACAAAAAAAATGAAAACATTGTTTTTCAGTCACCATGAAATTATCAGATGAAACGGATTTAGAATACTGCTGCAAACCGGTAGTTGAAAAAAATCGAAAAAAGTGACGTGCCACCTTAAGCTTAAAAATATCTATTGTCTATTAAAAAAAATAAACACAGATTGTAAATCAGCGTTTTTTCTTTGGAACCCCTCCCATATGTACGCTGAGCAGCTAACATAGACTTATAGTAAACCTATGCATTAATATATGTACAAAGCCAAATTTTGTTTTGACTGTAAAATATATGACCCTCATTATTCATAGATTAAAAATTCTTTATTTTATAAAAAAGTAATAAATGCAGTTTGATGAATACAGTACATTTTAGTGAAATAATCTCATTTACAATATGAATCTGTGTTTGGACGGAATGGTCCAGCATTCAGAAAAATAAGATGTCTTGAACACATGGGACATATTCAATGAGATCCAAGCATCTGCGACAGAGAAAAAATGATTTTCTACCGCTGAATTTGATTGTTTTTAATTTTCTCAATTCCACTTTGAAGACCTTTCTGTAAAGAGAAATTACATTAACACTGAATGGCTTATTATTGGTTAAGATTAAACAAGATCTTTTTTTGTCAGTTACGAGAACATACAAAACCGAACTTTTGTTTGCAATTGTCGGATCTTTGAATTATTGATATTTGGTTTCCGTATATTTAGAAAAACTTACTTGCAAAACCAGCATTCACTTTTGCAGTACTCTTTATTATCCTCCCAGCAATCTTTGCATATGTAATAGTGCTCGAAGACGTAATCAGGATCCTCAAAAGTATGTTGACACCACTTCAAAGTAAAACATAAGCAACACAAATCGCACTTTTCTTTTTCCATTTCTTTGATCACAGATTTCTCATGTTTAGGAAGCTTCTTCAAAAGTAAGGTATTTGATTCATTTTGTGCCATAATTGATGTAAAACAACTATGGTAGATCTCAGAAATACAATAATATAACGGATACGTTAATTTTTTACCGTTCGTATAAAAAAGTAAAAAAACGAGGGATTATGGTAGACCTTTTTCAACATAGAGTTATGCGAAATAGTATTCGATAGGATATGTTTGCTTAAACTAACTTCGTAAATTTATCTAGAAAGACTTTAGATGGCAATGCATTGTCTGTCGCCAAAATAGCATAGCTATCATCTTTAAACATCTACCTTCATTAGGCTTGCATTACTCGTTGCAAATTATGTAAGAAGTACCATATCTTGAAATCGTCAAACACCACAATTATCTGTGATCACTCGCACTTTTAAAAAACGGCAATAAATATACGAATTTAATGACAGAATTCTAAACAATTGACTTATGTCAAGAGCACTTTGATCCTCACTTCAGACTGTGACAATTAGGGTACAAAGAATCCTTGACTCGTTCCGTCGACCAAGCCTTAATTCGTCAGTCGAGATCATATACTGGACCAATGTCAAACCAGGGAGGTGGAGTAGCAGACGTCACGGCGGTGCATGCAACCTCGCTCGCTCTGTAACGTGTTCGGCGTCCGGAGTCCGATCACGTGAAGAATGCGTGAATTAGTTTGAGCTGTTTCTTTCTTCAATAAACGGACTATAGTCGATGTCAAGTCGTCGCGTGGATGAACGAATATAATAATAGCCAACTTGATTAAAAAATAAAATGTTCTTCAAATAAACAAAATGTCAATGAGGATGGCAGAGTCTAGCTTCAAGATATTCTACGCAACCATCAGAAAAAATAAAATTGCAAAAAAATATATGCAAGAAGGCAGCGCAGAATTGTCGTAACCATCCAAAAAATACGATTGGGCTAAACAAATATAGAATAATAAGTAATGTGCATGATTAAGGCCCGTATCGTCAGTCGTCCCTACAATCTAGGGCGCGTTTATGGCCTCCTTGATTGTCATAGTTTTCTACTTCTCCGTGTCAGAGCTCTATTTTGAGGTTATGTCACAAACATCTATTTGCATCAAATTGTGCTTGCTTTTGAGTTATATCATGTTTTATCAGCCTGAAATTTCCTACAATTTAAAAGGAAAACGTATCTTAACAATAGGAGAGCGCTGACGCTGACACGGGACGAGTGTAATCTAGAAATTTTTGAAGGAGAGAAAAGAGTATGACAATCAAGGAGGCCATAAACGCACCCTATAATTGTAGGGACGACTGACGATACGGGCCTAAGTAACCCGATTCAAAATTTTAAGAAAAGTAGACATTGTAAGGTAAGGCATAAAAATATAACTATCATCATTCAAATATTATCACAGGTAATTAGAAAAAGCAGTTAATTAAAAAGGACGTACTAACATTGTAATGCAGGAATGAAGTATGACTATATTAGCGTTTAGCTGTGAAACCAGGTGACATAGCAAAATTCTAGTTCTTGTGAATTCAATAGCCAAAAAGTTGTACCAACGAATCGCATTATAAATTAATGACCTAGTCTGGAGAAATTCACTATGACAGTTTATTTAGCAAACACGTCAAGTGGAAATAGTCGACGTTGTCGAAAATAGTCAGGTGAAACTAAATTCGTAAGTTTATTTCGCAAACATGTAGGATGGGATTAGTCGATGTCATGTCGGGTGGATTAACGAATATAGTCTGGCGAAATTAACTTCCCAAGTGTATTTAGCAAACACCCAAAATGTTAAGAGTCGTCATTGCCGATAGGATTAACGAAAACAGTCTGACGAATCTATTTTATCAAGTTTATTGGACTAATTGAGTCAAGTCGTCATGTGGATGAAGGAATATATACTAGTGACATCAATTTCGCAAGTTTATTTGGCAAGAGCTCGAATGAGAGTAATCGATGTCGTAGGGTGGATTAAGGGATATAGTCTAGTGAAATTAATTGTGCAAGTTTATTTGGAAACCTCATCGTACGGAAGTAGATTTTCAAAACATCATGTTTGTTTTTACTTCACACGCCATTGACAGTATTCTAATCGTGAAAAATTTCGAAAATGGGATTTTTTGGATGTTGAATAGAGCATGTATTTACATTACGAAAAACCATGTCGCTCATTCCCGTCAGTCTATCCGTTAATCAAGGTTACTACTATGCTAAGGACGAAAATGATTTGTAGTTTTTGAAAATCGGTCCAGTGGCGGCAAAAAGGCGAAAAACGAAAAAAATTAAAATCACTTAAACCTCGTTTTTTCTAGGTTTGAAGGATCCTGATCGTGGTCAGAAAAACAACTTGCAGGGCTTAAAAATTGGGCGTTGACGGTTGTAGAGGGAGGGGGAGAGTATATGTAAATTTTATGATGCTAGCAATTTATATCATTCCAACCTCGGTAACTATAAGCCTATTAGGCATATTTCATAGATTTTCCTGTATATTTGCCCTTAAAACTTGAATGATATATTTACGATATATGCGTGCCGGAGAATGCAACGTGTGTAAGTCTGTCTGCTTAGAATGCCGAGGGATAACTGAGCGGTGAGCAGTGATACTTTATCCGTGTATACAACGCGTGATGCGTTTGTCAGTGTAGAGTAGCTACGCTGCTGGGTGGTCAGTACTTTCGTCCGTAGGCTAGATCGCAATGTTGCCAAATCTGTGAGGACTATAGACTAATTGTATGAGCCTGTTTGACAGACATGATCCACTTAATTCCTTTGTTATACCGGCTCGTAGCAAACTGTTTTCTAAAAGGGACTAGCTTGTGCCGAATGTAATGCTTTATGAATTGATGACAGTGGTTGCATAAGAAGTGCAGAGTCTACCTATTTGACGCAATTTTGTATCTTTTGTAAAAATTTGGTCTATACGTTCTGTGAATGACCAGCCTTAAACTTAAAAACCAAGAACAAAAGTCGATTATTAGCAAACAAAACAATCATAGTACTGAATAATAATATATTCATCACAATTTTTCCATTACCTTAAATTAGAAACAGAGCTTATCTAAGAATTACAGCAAATAGCTAAAGTATTCAACTGTTGGTAGATACAGAAAGTATAAAATTGAAATCAACTTTTTGTCTTAAAGTTGGATAATATGTCCGAAGCCTACTACAATAGTAATGGGTGACATTATGTTTGGGCATCATTTTATACAATCAGTTAATACCAATATTTTTATTCCATAAGAATCTCTTCAATAGTCTTATCATCCCTCAACGGACTGGGCGCCAAACTCGGCTCACTTTCCAAAAACTGCCTCAACTCAGACTCCAGATCTATATTCGGCACTTCGGGTGCCGGAGGGGCATTCACTTCCGGCATACTGATACCCAACGCCTTCCTGATGCCAGCGACAGGCGCCACATCCGCTGGTGCAACCCTTTTGGCGATATCTGTCAGATTTTCGGTAATGTTCTCCGCGAGTTGAGTTTCCTCTTCTGAAGGTGGCAGGCAATTGTTCAGCTGCGGAGGTGGTGCTGCGGAAAGACGTTGGTACTGCGTTTGCTGCAGCTTCTTCAGCAATTCGCACATGCTGTCCAGGCGTTGCTGCAGTTCGTGACGTTCTTCGGAGACCCGGATTTCTTCCTCCATGTTGTCTAGGAAGTTTACGTCGATGCCAAGCTCTGTAGAAACATTATCAGAATAAGTTACTTGAGTGAAGTCAGGCAACTTGGATCAATGGCTAAATACACTAGCGTGCAAAAAAATCGACCGTCCACGCACCATTAGGTTTGGAACAAAGAAATGCAAGAATTTAAGGGACACCTCAGCATTATCGTCTCTGTATTTCAGTCTAGTAAGATCCAAACTGGAATACGGATCACTTATATGGAGTTACTATACACTGAAAACCAAATACCACTGACGTCGAAAGGTGTACCAGAGAGAAGCGCGAGAACCGTGCAATGCGTGAACGAAAGAGACAGAAGCACCTCGTTGCCTAGCAACCCGAGTACAAGGTCACGGATGCCATCGGCGCACTCTTCTAGCATACATATTGCATACGTCTCACTCGTACACATTACGACGTCAGTGAAATTTGAATCTCACCCTATATAGCCAGTAAAGCACCAAAAGAAATTTTCGGAATTCATGGCTTTAAAATTGATGATGTGTATCCACCAAGAGGTTGTAGTTATACTGAGCTACTACACAGATTTGATTATGTATATCGGAAATCTACTACTGCTGCTACCTACTGCTTTTTTGATCATTCAACGTTCAAGTGTGATTTCCTTCTGTGAAAATAGATACTACTTCATTTGAGACAGCTCAAGTAGTGGCACTCATCCAGGTTAGTAGTTTGACGTCGTGATTTGATGCCTTCTTTTGAGTCGGTCTGCAGAAACACCGATGTACCGAAAGATTGAAAGATTCTAAAGGTGATCAGGTTTTGGAAGAAATAGGGCCACATCACCTCAAGATCACCGCTTTATGGTGTCAACATCTTTAAGAAATCGATTTCTGACTGACATGTGGGGTTTGTAGATTTCTTTGTACACAAATCTTATAAAGTAAGACAATATAACAAATAGCTTCCAATCATTTTAACTAACTACGCAGCTTCATCTCGAAGATTAAAACTTGACGAGCGGGGAGGGCTGCATACTTTAATATTTCAGCATCGCCTCTGAGAGCAAATGACCTAGTGACAATTGAAAAGAGGGGGGGTGGATCTCACGATTCAGGTCTAGCAAGATAAATTTTTCACAGAGGCAATAATATACACCATTTTCTTGAAAACAAATTACTTTACCGTCCAGGGCGCCTCCTCCAAATCCGCCCTTGAAACTTAGGAGTATGTTTCTGACTCGATTCACCATCGAAAACGATCCATAATTGAATTCCTCGAATGCATCATATAAAATATCCAATACGTCTAATTTAAATCATAAAATACTTATTGCTTATTCGAACACCCTTTGTAAAGAATGTTAATATTTTACCTTGCAAGCTCTTCAATTCGTCAACACTGACTTTAACCGCGTCAATAGGCTTGACTTCGAGCATTGTCTTGACGGCAACTTCTTCCTCGCGAAGATTCTTATTGTCTTCTAATACCTTCCTAGTTCTGGAGTGGTCACCTCCTGTCAGAAGGTCCAACAAAGAGTCCACCAAATGTGTAGCGTAGTCGGACTCTTTTGCGAAGTCTTGGATACTTTCTGCATACTGGAATATGAACAAAAAAATAGGTCATCTTTTCAAGAAACTTTGCAGGATTAAGCTTTAAGGAGACGGTATTCTTATTTTTATGACAGCATGAAGTTGATCCATTATTGCTATAATCTATCTTTCATTGAACCTGTGCTTTTCTTAAAAAAGTTTTCCTATATTTTGAAGTGACAGTTCTATCGCATATAAGAAATACACCAATTTTTTTAATTACTTTCTGCGATTCAGCCTCATATGAATATTTTCTTATTGTTAAAGAAAAAAATGTGCTCGTTGAAGGTACCATCCAGTGAATCAGTCGTCGAGAATATCCATATAAATACAGTAGCGGACAAAAGTTTGGAAACAAATAATAACAGATAATATAAATATTAAAGTCTACCTTTGACTCCCGTACTAATACAATATTATTCTTATCAATATTCAAATTCTCTGAAAATAAAAAAACGTGTTTTTTCAAATTCCTCAGTTTTTGTAACAACAAAAGTATGGAAGCATTTCAGTTTTGCTGTGTTTATTGGTTCTGCGATACTCTGATATTGCGTACGGTAGATATTCACATCACTGAGAATGGCAAAAGTAAAAGAATTTTCAAAATATTTAAGATACAAGGTAATTGAATTATCTAGAGGTGGTGTCAGAAATGTTGACATTTCTTAAAGATTAAAAATGATCAAAGCGACGATTTCGAAAAAAATACCGATTATGTTTTGGATCGATACATTAAACGTTTGTCCCATGAAGAACCTCGAATGCCAGCCACACAGATTTTCAAAAGTATCGTAGAAGAGGGTGCCGAGAATCTTTCTGCCAGAACAGTGCAGAGACGTTTGGTGGATTTTGAGCTTTTTTTGGCAGGCGTCCAAAGCACAAGCTTCTCATTTAAAAAAAATGATGAAAGCAAATTTAACTTGTTTATATCTGCCGGTACGGCATATGTGAGACGTCCAATATGATAAAAATTCGACAAAAAGTATCAGTTGTCAACAGTTAAGCACGGTGGAGGCAACATCATGGTTTGGGTCAGTTTTTCTAGTTCTGGAATGGGTCCAATTGTTAAATTGTTGGGAAAATGGATCAAAAACTTTACAAAGATATTCTTAGTAAGCACATGCTCCCTTTTGCTGAAAAAGAAATGCTTTTACGATGGACATTCCAGCAAGATAATGACCCCAAGCATACCTCAAAATTCGTAAAGGACTGGTGAAGATTAAGCAATTTTAATGTGTTTACATGGCCTTGACAATCGACGAACCTAAACTCTATAGAACATATCTGGGAGCAGGTTAAAAGACAACTGACAAGGAAAACTTTTAAAAATAGGAACGATTTATTTGATTATGTAAAAAAATTTTGGCTAAATATCCCAAAAATTGGTGTCTTCTATGAGCAGCAGATATCAGACAGTGTTGAATGCTAAAGGCTATACTACCAAATATTAGATAAAGTATTTTTTTAAATCTTTTTGTAGAGTTAATGTATTTAATCTTATAATAAAAAATATGTTTCCATACTTTGGTCGTCTTATTTTCGGTCATAAAATAATATGAAGGTATTTTAATGCTAGTCTTTAGTACCACAGCAAACACAAATTGTCATTTGTATCCTCAAGGATGTAAGCAAACTATATGAGAGAAAAAAATAGTCCTTAATAATAGAGAATAAAAAATTAGCACACTTTTTAAAAATTAGTAAGAATGTTTCCAAACTATTGTCCGCTCCTGCATGTGTGAGAGAGATGTAACATGGCCGCTCGCAGGAATTAAGACATTAAAGTTTAACTGCCGAAAAAACTTTTTGGAGAGCGGGGGGAAGTTCCTTAAAATTGTACACTAAATCATGCTAAATATGCAACCACACATGATATGAAAGTAATTCTTGTAGGTTTACAGTAACCGCCAAAACCGTGAAATGACGTATAACTCACCTGCACGGCAGTGTCGGACCCGTACGTAGAATACACCAAATCGCTTTCCTCCTTACTGAGATTAGCAAATGCAGAATCATAACTAGGCGCATAACTCCCAAACGCCCCGTAGTACAAGGGCTTCACCGGTTTGGCCACATTCCTCCTGTCCTCCCTGAAGCCCTGCAATTGGCTGGTGCCATCTGTCACTTTGCCGCACAGCTGGCCGAGCAGCACAGGCCGTTTGCGCGTGCCCGGAATGACGCCGTCTCCGCCTACCAGGATGTTCAGGTGGGTGGTGCCGTCCTTCTTTGGTTTCAGGAAACCCATGCCGGACGGACCGCCCTTTTTTTGGACTGCAATAAAGACGGTCGACTCATACCTTTTATCATTGATTAACGTATTTTACCTGAACCATATACATCGAATTCCGGCGTTCAAAACGCTTTTGAAAGATACTAGCGCCATCTATGAGATAGTAGCAGAACACAAAAATGAATTTGGAAATCCACTTTGGAAAGTGTTAAGAGTGTCTGGTTCTCCTACTGCATCATAGACAGCGCTAGTATCTTTCAGATCCCTTTTCTTCAGGTAGAAAATGTTAATCCATTTGTTCCCATGGTTTCGTTAACGCAACGTTATTATTTTTGTGAGAATTTTATAACATTCTTAGTCTAATTTAACTGTTATGAATTCGATAACGGTTTGGCTGAACGATATCTATATTTTAACGGGGAGATCGTGGATGGAATGTTTAAAAAAGCGCCCATAAATTCTGCCATTAGAACATATTTACAATCTAAACTGCCATTTGTTTTTCAGTTTTTATACAGTTTTCAATAATACACAATGAAAAATTCAAACTGTGTGACTTATGAGGGTTTTGCAATGATTCATTCGATTATTATAAATTCTTGAGTATCCGTGATCTAGATGAAAGCGAGTTTCTTGGAGAAGCGATGTACGTAGATTCCTAATAATGTGTTAATTTGGTGCTATGATCGTTGGAAAGTCCTAAGCGGCACCGTATCCATATCATAACAATTTTGAAAAAAATTCGATATTGCGAGAAAACATTATTGGGTTCTTCAACAAAAACAAGCCGTGCAAGTTCTGGCCAAAACCTCGACTTCGCATTAAAAGTAACGATTTGTCTAACCATACCAACAAAATTGACAAGCTGTATTAACTTACTCAACTTGGCTTTAGCGTGTCTCGCAGCCATTTGCGACTTGGCCAAAATCTCCTCAGGAGTCAACTCATCCGGAACAGCTTCAAATTTCGTTGGTGGCATTTTTTTCTTATGCTCATGACCCTGGTCACTATCTTCGAGCTCATCTTGCTGCTTGGTAGCTCGCATCTCTGCCGTAATCTCGAATCCTACTTCCTCGCTGGTTATTTCTGGCACCAAGTTCAGCATCCAGCCCAATTTGTCGGACGTCATCATCTTTAGACCAGCTTGCAGCAACTTCTTGCTAGCTTTGTAATATACTGTCTCTGCATGATTGTACTTCATCGCGTTTTCGCACATTAACTTGAAATCGGCGATGAATTCCTGGGATAAGCAAGAACAGCAATAGGTTATGAAATATCGGTCTATCCTTCAAATTTATAAGTGTGCTGAGCCGTAGGGATCCCTTGAAAATCTCACCAACTAGTAGCAAAATGGTCAGTAAGAAACGTATCAGTGGAATAGTCCAATCAGCTGAATCGTAATTTTACCTATTATCAGAAATATCACGGCATATTCAAGAAGGCTTGTAGAAAAAATTAGTGGGCAGATGAAGTTAGTGTACATTGTAAGGAAACATTTCTGGATACTATGGCATGAACTTATCCTACACAACTGGCATTGTCAAATATTCGGAATAAGGTCATCAACTGATGAAGGGATAATAAATCCTCAAATTTAAAGCAGTGCCAGGTCTAATCATGGGTTATGGAAGATGTGCCGTTTTACCTAACCAGATAACAGTCTTTTGTATCACAAATAGGATAATGAAATATGTATAGAATGATGAACTAACGTCCGTACTATAAAACATTTGCAGAGACAATATCGAACTTATTCCACTTGAGTAATTGCATTATCGCAATTTCGATGTATGATGTCGTATTCCGCACAATAATGCACAAATGTTCTTCGTTTGTGAATTATACACTGGAAATGCTGTTTTCTGCTGAAGGGTATCGAAACCCTGGCAGATAAGAAAGAATAAAGCTGAGAATTGATGTAGATGCTGAAGACGGAGTACTACAGTTATAATAGCACGCGCCGTATCTCACAGAATGTTCGTGTAGCTAGGTCGACAGTACATTGGATTTTACATAGAGAGCTGCCGCACCCGTTCCATATTCAACATGCGGAGGCGCATCTTTCACAAGACTACCCGAAGAGAGACAAGTTTTGTAGAAGGGTGCTTGATCATTTTAAAAAAAGATGTTATGGATGGACGAAGGCAGGAGTTTATAATATTAAAAATTTACACCACTGGACTCTAGAGAATCTAGGACTTATGAGGCGGAAATACTTTCAACATCGATTTGGAAACAGCATATGAGCTAAACTAATGAGTAGTAAATTCATTGGCCCATTCTTATTAATAAAAAGATTGTGTGGAGTAACTTATTCAAATCTTCTTCAAAACAATCTACCAGAGCTGCAAAGCAATGAGGTTTGAGTATGATCAGGCTTCTGTACATTGGACCATTGATTCATATGGTCTAACATATAGAATTTACTGTTCCTTCCTGCTACTTGGATAACAAAAACTCAGACTGTGGTTATATGATCAAGTAATACTGCAATTCATCTGCAATACCTTTATTACCCAAAATTATGTCCAATGCTACCATCCCTTGGATTGTATAGACCTAGAATTCATTCGAGTTTGAAGACTTATGGTCCCTTAATTGTTTCCTCATCCTATTAGGACTGTAGAAGGTTGATAATAGCAGTTATACGATTGAGTCACAAAATGGGAATTTTCGAGATTTAGGGTATATATATAGGCTATTGTACCCAGAACTTTTTCATAACTATGGATACTGTATCTGCCCGCTATTTTTTTGTACAAGCCTTGATGAATATGCTGTAATACTTTTAACAACAGATAAAATTTCAGTTGAGACAGTTGCTATACCTAAATTAAGTGGACTGATATTTCACTGACAGCTTTCCTTCAATGATACATCATTTGGGAAGATATCCTGTGAGAAATAACACAAGATAACTTCACAAAAAATTGTACATTCTCAAAAATTATGATAACTCTAAAACTGTGCACAATTGCATGCCATTTCTTGTTTTTCTGATTTGAAATGATCCCACCTATCACCCCAGTATTAATTAGAGGACAAACCTGATTCTAGAATATTTTGAAAAATAACAAGCAATGTCACACACTGGTCAAAACAGTTGTGATTGCATTGTAAAAAATATTTCCTACTCCGTTAGAAAATTTTCCATACAAAGATATGGGGTGTCAGAAAAACCATTCACTACACTGATAACAGCCATAAATCAATATACATAAGAAGAAACAAAATAGGGAAACATTGACAAAAAAGAAGGGAAAGGATGAACTAACTATTTTGGAAGCTCTTGCAGTTCTTTGCCATTCTATTCAAGTATTTGTCAAAATTATACTTACATCTAAATGCTTATATTCATTTTGATCTATCTTCTGCCTCATAGTGCTAAAATCCATAGGGTTGGAAATAATTTGAGAGTACCCTGGTGCAATAGCATCAGTAACAGGCCAAGCAAAGAAATTCTGGGGGTCCTTCTTTTCAAGCTGGGCCAGTAGGTGGTCTAGGCCTTTTGAAAGGAATGTGCGCTCTTGTAACTTTTTTATTACACATTGTCGCTGTTCTCTACCTGGACTGCCGATCTGTTGGTAAATATCTTCTACAAAGACAAAGAAATAATTGTTGTTAAACATGATTATAATTAATAAACACCTTATTAGTGAAAGCTTAATTTGGGATATAACATGTTTCCTTCCATTGTGATATATTTGTCTTGCTCAGTAAACCTAAACTGGATATGCTTTAAAAAATAGATTGTTCAAATGCCAGTGAAAATTTCAAAAGAAAACACCTATGACAAGCAACCTTGAGCAAAAGCAAACTTTGGGGGCCTCTTAAAAACCATAACTTTGAGAAACTTGAGCAAAAAAAGCCCATTCATTCATGGTAGGGACCTTTACAATGTTATAAATCTTCCCTTCACTATATTCTATAGAGCCATGACTTTTATTTTGGGGGCCTCAAATCAAGGGCCAGGGAGACTGTCTCAGTAGCCTCTGGACAGCTCTAGAACTGAATGAGCACCTCCATAAAAAAGTCTACAGATTAACAAAAGTGTTCTACTGAAGTAGGCATAGATCCCTTGAAATATAATAATACTACTCAATATAAATAAAGAAAGTCTATAGTTACTTTAAAGTACTATCCTTGGTCTTGAAATGGGACTTTATAATACTATGATGATACATCATCATGATCAAATAAAATACAGATCTTACCAGGTTCACTATCCCTTTTCCGTTTCTTATGATGTTTATGCTTCTTTTCCCTGTCCTTATTCCTATCCTTCTTCTTCTTTTTCTTCTTGGACTTCTTGTGATGAGACTTGGATAGCCCAAAATAAGGATCAGTGGAATCTACTTGCATTTGATCACCTCCTTCACCCATAAGTGGTAAGGTTTGACCAAACTCGTTTTCGTGCTCTGGAGTCGCCTGGGATCCCACTTTTAGGATCAGCTTCAACCCTGATGCCTCTTTTTCATCTCTTTCCCTCTTTTCGCTTTTGTGTTTTTTGTGTTTCTTCACCGGCGGAGGTGAAACAACCTCTTGTAACGTTGGTGATGACATTTTTACTGTGCAAATCCATGAACTAAATCAAAACGCTTTAAATAATCATTTTGAAACGACAAAATTAATTGTTCAAAACAAGTAGCGTCATGTTAAAAGCTGAAAACTGAAAATCAATTTTTTAGGTTATAAAAAACGTCAGGGCAATTAAGCTAATGTCAATCAGTCTGCAACCAGTCATACAGCAACTTGCGATGTATATTGCCACGGTTTATTAGTTTATTTTTAATATTATAATTTTCTACACGTCTTTAGTATCATATATCAATAATTTGCCTGTATTTGAAATAGAAAATCTAAATGCTAGATAAGTGAACTTGACAGTTGGCGCCAACAATATTTTTCACTCGGTTGCATCTGCACGCACAGCTAGAGGTGACCTTCAAGGAGTGAATTCAAGACTTTTGAGACACACCTCTCAGTTTCTCTCCTTTTTGACTGGTTGAACTGTATTTACCATCCTTTTTCAGCAAGTCGAATTGTTGACGTACCGGCAGTCACATTTTGATCAGATAAAAAACATACACCGTGTGTGGTTTATTTTAGAAATTTCAAAAATTTGACTGGAACATTGGGTAAGTTCTGTTTGAAAGTTTATTTAAGATCTTTGAATATCTGACTGCTTCATGTCTCAGTAATATTTTGGTTTACTTATCATAGAAAGCTGTACTCATTTTTTGTTAACAAATTATTTTTAAAAATAGTTTTTTTTAGTGTTATCAGTTTTTATAGATTAATCATAAATTTATGCTTATTTGGATACTTATCTCATTCATGTTTATATAGTGCTTTGAAAAAAATTGAACCACCACAAAAATCTTTGTTTAGTGTTTTGCAATACTAAAATAATTAAGTATTTGAGATAAGAGGGTAGATACTATTTAGTTATTAATTACTTTTACGACTTTAGTTATAGTAGGCAAGATGTCAAGGGACCGGGCTTCTAGAAGATTTTATAGGATGGATTCCAGCTACAATCTTTTGGGCTTCATGGATCATGGAATGATTGCAGAAGAACAAAACCGATGGACTTTTGAAGTAGCTTGGGAAGCAGCTAACAAAGGTAATAGCATTTTTTTTAAATTAAGAAATAGGAACCTTATTTGTTGTAAGGCTAGAGTTTTCTAGAATTTGTGATAGTTGTCTTGGGAGTTGGTGTAGCGTGTAGCATCTAGGAAGCACTATATATTTTGAAGCAGGGTTAATATTTGCACCACCTGTTGATTTTTTCCTCTCTGAAACTCCAACCTCTACTCTAACTGCAATTATCTTCATATTCCCCATAGAAATACAGATGTTCTTCTACTGGTATTAAACACAAAATGATTGGTTACTATTACTTTTATTCTTATAATGGAAATGTAATTTGCCTATGGACAATAGTGTTTTAAACTACAGCCTCTAAATTCAAATACTGTATGCAATTTTGAATTTATGGCAATCATTTCAGGACATCCTAAGATGCCCTTATATTTGAATCATTTCACTTTGAGAAACCTTGAAGTCCTGATTTTAACACTACATACTCTTGTTATAATGTAAAGCTGAAGAATTTTCAGTTTTTTCTTACAAGATGTTTTTTGAATTTTAAGCAGTTGATTTTGTTGGTAGCAAACTATATAATCTAAGTCATGCAGATATATTAACACATCCTTCTTAAACTAGCAATTGAATTTGTCATTTCAAAAGCTACATAAGCCATATTTGGTGAAAATTATGGAGAATATTATAACATGCAAAATTAAAAACATATATACGTATATGTTAATAAGATGATATCAGTGTAATTCTTAATTACAGATATTTATGATTAATATGATTCTTTTGCTAAAAGGATATAGTCCTTATTGATTTCTGTACAATCCAAATTGTCTGACTTATAAAGTTTTGGAAATGAGACTGATTCAGTTGTCAATTTTTAGGTATGCTATTCCTTTTATAATAATTAATACTGTGTAATAGTCTTGAGGTATTTTTTTTAAAAGGAGCTATGGTCCAATGGTTGTTGAGGAATAATCATTTTGAATATGTGCATATTAACATTCCAGTTATCAAAATGTTGGATGTATTAGGAGGCTTATCTAGGTTACTTTACTGATGTGAATTGTTGTTTATAGTTACCAATAATTATGACATTATTCAATTATTGATAAGAAGTTATAGATGATGCAGGCATTAAATTTTATGATACAATATTAGAATAATTGCATTTATGAGTAATATAGTTCCTTATGTACAAGTATGTTCTTGGATACCCTTCAAATATTTAACTTTAAAACTCATCAGAAAAAAAAGACTTGGAATTGCAATGTATGAAAGGGTTGGTGTTTGGAATGAGACACAGTTTACTTTGAGAAGAATTTAATTTCTGTTTCCTTCAAAGCTGTTTCCAAACTAGTACAAAAACCACAAAGGCATTTTTTTTCAAATTGCTAAAAATAAAATGTAACTAAAACTTGTAAATTGGACTATATTTGTAGTTGGTGGCATCTATACTGTTATAAGATCAAAGGCTTTTGTATCAACTGAGGAACTGGGTGACCAATATTGTCTAATTGGACCTTATAAGGAACACTGCGCTAGAACTGAGGTTGAGGAGGGTCCACTAGGCTCAGAGTCCCTCAATAAAGCAGTGAATGTAATCAGAGATCGTGGTTATAAGGTATTATTTCTATTAGTATTCTCATGTTCAATAGCTTTCAATTCATCATTTTTTTCGAAATTGCCTAGATGTATTGCGAATTTATAAGTGTCCCGAGTCGTCAAAATTTCGGCTCTGTACCGCTGGAATCTCATGAAGATCTCGGCAATCAGCTACTAGTAGCAGGGTATACATTTCTATTATGAGCAATCTTGATTTTCTTAATATATTTTATAGACAGAAAGGAATGAAAACATACATCCTTCATTATGGTCACCATCAAATATCTAGTCAAAACTCCAGGGCATTATTTTAACAAATAACAATAGTCGATTCACCAAAAATTTACAATTTCAGCTAGAATGTAATTTATGGCGGTAAAATGAGACACTTTTAATAATCCCTACTATCGTATGCTTCCCGAGATTTTAACATTCTTGCAAAATACGATTATATGTATTATGATTTATTTTTTATTTCGAAAATATCGTGACGGGCTGAAGTTATACATTTTTAAAATTTTTTAGGTGCACACTGGGAGATGGTTAGTGGATGGAAATCCTCAGATCATCCTTATGGATGTTGGATCTGCAGCTTGGAAACTTGATGAATTCAAATCAGAACTATGGAATAAAACAAATATTGGCATACCTCATTTGGATATTGAATGTAATGATGCCATTATCTTGGGTTACATGGTGGCTGACTTCCTTTCAGAGGTAAAAGGAAGATTTAAAAAGATGTGTTTCAATCCAGCATTGAATTAACAAAACCGAAAGTATACTCATCACCCAGTAAAATTGATTTGAATGACATGTTGTTCCTTAATGACAGGCTAATATATTAAGGAGGTGATTTTTGGACCCATTTTAAGAAAAAAAAACATATGAACGTATGTCCTAAATGTCTTAACCTTTGATAAAAATTGTAAAAATTGTATTTTACAATAACTGTGATACTATTGTAGATATCTTTATGGAATTAGGCACATATCGATGCCTCCGATGTACAAACAATTTTATCATTTGTACTATCGGCTTTCATATACGGGTTTTGCATTAAATTATTTTTGAAGAGAAAAAATTGTATACCACTGCTTTCTCTTAAAATAAAAACCATTTTTGAAATCATCATTTATTTTCGAGCAAATTTGATCTCCTGATTTTCTAGCATCCGACGCATGGTTTTGGATTAAAAAAATAAAAATCGTTTTACTTCAAGGTCAATTCGCTAAAAAAAAAAGAATTCCAAAAGATATGTTTTATCGGATGTGCGGTCCTTGATATTAAACGAACTCAATAGCTTAAAAAGAAAAAAAATTCCGCACAGTCACCGCATCAGTCTGCAAAGCCCTAAAAATGAGAATATTCAATGCTTAAGAACTCAGTTAAATGTTTAAATCTTGCTTTACAAGACTCTGAAGAGTATTTTGAGATCGATTTATTTCAAAGCGATTTGTAACCCTGTCTTTTGGGCCCAATTGGCGAACTTTTGGTTTTTGCAGACTGTACCTCATCTCAGCTGTATTTAGTTTCGAAAAACTGGTAGGGTTGGGTGGAGGATGAGGTAGAGAGGTCACTATTCTTCTCATCATATCCCATACATGTTCAAAGGGCAAAAGATCTGAAGGTCTAGAAGGCCAAGGAAGGAGGCTGGCGAGCATTGTTGGGACAGTTCATGATAGACTATATACAGGGTGACTTTGAAGTTGAGTCATTAATTTTCAGATAATGATTGTAGAAGGAATATAAACCAAAATATGTGTGTAAAAATAAAAAAAAAATTAAAAAAAATTTTTACCTTGTTTTATAAAGTATCCTCCCGACAAGTATTTCAGTGCGGACCTGTATTTGATCGTGAGGTCCCCTGTGAGGTCTTAAGTCACCTGATTCACGAGCCCGTTGTACTACATTAACAAAGGCACGAGGGGTTGGTTGCACTCGATTGGGAAACCGATCCGCATAAACATGTGCCATTTTTATTTCGTTTGAGCCACGCAACAGATACAACTATTCACTGACACTGACTATATACAAATGAATGAAATAATTCGTTCCAAATTCTTTCGCTTTTTTGTTTCCGATGCGATGAACCGATACGACGGATTATATCCGTTGTCGCCAAACACGAGCACATTGAGACAGGGCGGTACTCAAACTTCCAAAGGGCTATAACTTTGTTACTTTAATTTTACCAGAAAAATGGTAAAGGAAAAAAACATTTCTTTTGATCAGATCTACTCACTGTTAAAATAAATGACTCAACTTCGAAGTCACCCTGTATATGGGAATGGGCATTATGTTGTTGGAAAAGCGATTGGGGAAGTAGCAAACGATGGGGCTCCAATATTCTCTGGATATATGATTTTGCTGAAATTTAATGCATTCACAAATTTACTTGACAAATGTCAACAGTTCTCCGAACTTTTGAGAGAATTTCTCAGAGAAATCTATTCTTCTGCTCTCAAGAACTGTTCTCATTGAGGTTTTGTAGGTCGAGGACATTTACCTATAATTTTGTTAGTAAATATTTTGAAAGGTGCTAGAGGTTTTCCGAAAATAGTCTAAGGAACTAGTTACCTTCTTGTTCCATGTTTAAAAAAAACTTTAGATACTTGGAATAACTGTTTTTTTTTTCAAATATTCTATTTCAGTTTAGAAACCAAGCCGAAGAATTCGGCAATGGCACTCCAGCCCGAGTTTTAGCACATTTCCATGAATGGCAAGCTGGTGTGGGCCTGATAGCTCTACGCACTAGGCACACTAACATCGCCACAGTATTCACCACTCACGCTACTCTGCTTGGTCGGTACCTCTGCGCTGGAAGTTTGGATTTTTACAACAATCTCAGCAAAGTAAGTTTGTTTTTTAACCGATTACTTAACAAATAAAACTCTAGGAGCACACCTGCTGGGTTAGTATTCAAACGTTTGTGAATTAGTTTTTGAACATTCAACTTTAAGGCTGTAATTGATTTTTCGATTGGTCCAAGCGAAGTGTTCTTCAATAACCAAATCATCACACATCAAGTAAATTTCATTGATGAGAATAGAAAGCTCAAATTTAGAGAGGCCTTGCTTTTTCAAATTTTGACAAGCTGCCAAGCATATCCTTCTATTATGTTTATTTATTTACAGTTTCTTATTACATAAAAAACATTACTTCTAAGTGACAGATTACAATAGAATTTTCATATAAAAAAGAATATTTTGCATGTGCTTTTTGATGCGCCTAATATTTCTACTAAAAACACCGATAAATAGCGGCGTTACCAGATCTAAGAATTCTAGTATCTGGTTCATTCATACCATAGTCGGTAGAATGATGTGGAATCGTATTGCGAGTTCGTCTTTCGTTAACAGTAAGATTCATTTGTACAAACATCTCTGGGCAATCTATTACACCATTAACTATTTTAAACAGAAAATATAAATCAAAAATTTCCCTGCCGTGTTTCAAGGACCCTGTGTTCAACATACTCATTAGTTCTGAAATATTTTGCATCCGACCCATTTTAATAGCTGCCTGTTGGTCATTTCCATATGCCCAAACTTCATCGCTACCTTTCAAACAATAATTGAGGCATGAATATTTATACTAATTGTTAATTTTTTTTCCGAGATAATGAGATACCTAGGGGAATGTGAGAAAGAGATTGAGAGTGAAAGAGAGAGAGATAAAGAGAGAGAGCTGAAGAGAAAGAGAGAGAGAGAGAGAGATAAAGAGAGAGAAAGAGAAACAGAGAGAGAAAGAGAAACAGAGAGAGAGAAAAGAGAGAGAGAAAGAGAGAAAGAGAGTGGAAATAGAGAAAGAGAGTGAGAAATAGAGAGAGAGAGAGAGAGAAAGAGAGAGAGAGAAATACAGAGAGAGAAAGAGAGAGAGAAAGAGAGAGAGAGAGAGAGAGAGAAAGATAGAGAGAGAAAGAAAGAGAGAGAGAGAGAAAGAGAGAGAGAGAGAAAGAGAGAGAGAAGGATACGAGAGAGACAGAGAGAAGACAGAGAGAGAAGAGAGAGAGAGAAGAGAGAGAAGAGAGAGAGAGAGAGAGAGAGAGAGAGAGAGAGAGCCATCGACAACGAGGAGCACTCTTTCTAACATACGCACATTCGTACATTGAAACTCAGTCGACCTCAACTGTAAATGGTTCGCACAATATACAAGCATATATATGACTACAGCGCTATATATGAGACACTAACCTCTCGAATCATATATGGAAATAAAGAAATAGCTGTGTTCTTATAGATGCAGTATTTCATTTTATCTCGGATAATTTTTTGGAAGTGCCCATTACAATGCGATAATCAGTAGTTTTCCAAAGCGAATAAGCCAGGGAACTGTAGAACCTTAGTATATAGATAATGTAATGATTCCTTCTGGTCCTTAGTGTTATAAGAGTGGTTTGTTGCAGTTTAGTGTGGACGAGGAAGCCGGCAAACGTCAAATATATCATAGGTACTGCTTGGAAAGAGCCGCTTCACATCTAACACATACATTCACCACTGTGTCAGAAATAACAGGTATTATTTTAAAGATCCTCTATATTTATAATTATCATAACTTCATTCTTTCAAAACAGGTATCGAGGCAGAGCATTTACTGAAAAGAAAACCTGAGGTGATTACACCGAATGGTTTGAATGTCAAAAAATTCTCGGCCATCCACGAATTTCAAAATTTACACGCTATAGCTAAGGAAAAGATACACGAATTCGTGAGAGGACATTTTTATGGGTAAGCTTTGAGGTTGAGAGTGAATTTAATGAAATCAAATACGTCAAACTAAAATATTTTTCAGGCACTTTGATTTTGACTTGGACAAGACGTTGTATTTTTTTATCGCTGGACGGTATGAATTTATAAACAAAGGTGCCGACATATTTATTGAAGCCCTTGCGAGACTTAATCACTACTTAAAGGTAAGAAAAGTTGTTAACATAGAAACCACGATTTATTAAACCAATGTCTTCTGACGGAGAAATATTGTAATCACTAAAATTTTCGAAAACGAGATATTATTTTTTGAATGTCCGCTAGTCTCATAACCACCTATAACTAAAGAAGTACCGCTCGAGTTTTGATGAAATATCTACACAATGTTACTACTATGCCAAGGACGAGTTCTTATCAATCGGTCCAGTGGCAAAAAAACAAAATGCCCTCAAACTTCATTTTTTGACTTTTCAGAGAATCCTGATCATTTGTGACAGATTTTATTGCTCAATTTTTTTGATGTAAATTTATACGCTTCCAACATTGGTAATTCTACGCACCTATTAGACATAGATTTCACCATACATTACGGATCGCATACCTAACGGACGTGTCTGCTTCTGCTCCCGGTGGCGTGCAGGTCCTGGTAAGTGTTCTGGTATTACTGCCACGCCATAGCATAGTGTTTCCTATGTTGTGGCTGCGGTGTCACGTCTGATCGGTAGAATTGTATGGACCTATTTGACTGACTTTTTTCTCAATTTTGTGCTGAACATAATCTTTTATGAACCGATAACAGCGTTGCGTTGGAAGTGCTTAGTCAACTTACTTGACGGCATTTTTTGTGAGATAACAAAACTAATTTTGATCAGATATTTGTTACAAATTCATCACATATTTTTAAATGTATCTATGCTGTGAGCTTGAGACTAACTTAATTTATAGAAAATATTTTTTCTTTTTAGTCGTCTCATCCTGATGTAACTGTAGTAGCGTTTTTGATATTTCCTGCCAAAACTAACAATTTCAACGTGGAGTCGTTGAGAGGACATGCTGTTACAAAATCTCTCAGGGAGACCATACACGATATACAAACCGACATGAGCAAAAGAATGTACGATCTTTGTTTAAGGTAAATCTATCTGCAGTTATTTATTTGAGTGGTGATATGAGCAATTAACATTTTGGTATACTATATAAACGTGGAAAGCGCGAAGAGGTGTAGTAAAATCTGCATTCTTCAGTATCATCTGAATAATTTACGAATGAGTGTACGATTTGGATTTCTTGAATTTCTGTATTAGAATATAAAATTGACATTTTATTATGGCCTATTGTACATTGATTACCAATATTCGATTTCAGTGGCCGATTACCTGATGGACAGAATATCCTTTTGAAAGAAGAGATGGTGCGTCTTAAACGATGTATTTTTTCACTGCACAGAGATACAATGCCCCCCATCACAACTCACAATGTTGTAGATGATTGGAATGATCCTGTTTTGAATTCCGTTCGACGATGTAACCTCTTCAATACCACCTATGACAGAGTTAAGGTAGGTAAAAGTTCTGATTAAGGTTATCTCTACTTTGTTGTTTTACATAATATACTAAGTGACATATAAATCCGAACACCCAGTTTAAATGGTTTTATTTTAATAAAATTTTGTATAAGTACTTAATGAACCATAATAAGTAAATGATAAAAATTTCAAAATGATTACACTGCTTTAAAGCCCTTTGACCTTTAATAATGTGTGGATGCACCCTGATGTGCTACGCATTCTCCAACGCGCCTAGGCATGCTTCTGATCAGGTGGTCAATGTCCTCCTGTGGTATCTCATTCCAGGCAACCACCAACTCCTCTCGAAGTGCTTCTAGAGTCTGAGGCGGACGTTGCAAATTGAGCAATCTCCTACCCATCATATTCCACACGTGCTCAATTGGGGATAAGTCGGGAGATCTTGGTGGCCATGGTAACAATGTGATATCATTATGTTGAAAGAAGTCTATTGTAACTCTTGTAACATGTGGTCGGGCATTATCTTGTTGGAAAGTTGGATCTGCCAGGGTGTCAAGATAGGGTAAAAGATGGGGTTCTAGAACTTGGATATAACGCTGCGCGTTCATGTTATCTCTGATGAAGATTAAAGGTGACCTGGAACCATAAGCTATAGCACCCCAAACCATAACTCCAACAGTGTGATGAACATGTCTTTCAACAAAAATCTGTGGATTCCTCCTTTCACCACGTCGCCTTCTAACCCTGGCACGACCATCGTGCATGTCTAAACAAAATCGAGACTCGTCACTAAAGACAATACTGTTCCACTCCTCAACCCAGAGTGACCGTTGTCTGCACCACTCAAGGCGATTACGTCGATGTTCTCCAGTTAAAGGGAGGACCCAGTGTGGCCGGTATGAAAACAAGCCAAAACTTCTCATTCGTCGGTAAACACTTCGCATGCCAATAGGTCTTCCGTGTTCTGCAAACCATTCATTTGCAATGGACCTGGTAGTGGAGAAACGGTCCCTTAAGACCAATAATCTTAGGCGGCGATCTTCACGGTCTGTTGTTCTACGGCGGCGTCCAGTGCCCCTTGCTCTTTGCGTACGGCCTTCTCGCAGCCATGCCTGACAACACCTAACCACAGTGTCTACACTTCTTTGCACTCTAACTGCAATTGCCCGAAAAGAAGGTCCAGCTTCCAGAAGTCCCACTATACGGCCCCTATCAAACTCACTAATTTGACGAAATCGTACAGGTCTCCGTACTCTAGGCATCGTAACCGATCGTAAAGGATGTCAAGAACCAAAATCCGCCAACGTTGATTCTTTACTGCGGCTGGAATATTCATTTTTAGAGCGTTAGTGAATTAAAAAAAGGCAGTATAAAAACCGGAATATCCAACTGATAAGGCTGAAACTTTTTTTACTTATTTACAGTAAGATAAATACATTCACCAACTTTTATTAAAATAAAACGATTTAAACTGGGTGTTCGGATTTATATGTCAGTTAGTATACATATTCTTTTTCAGATTGTTTTCCATCCAGAGTTTCTGAGTTCCACAAATCCTCTGTTCGGCTTGGACTATGAAGAATTCGTCAGGGGGTGCCATTTAGGTGTTTTTCCGAGCTACTACGAACCTTGGGGCTATACACCTGCTGAATGTACCGTTATGGGGATTCCTAGTGTTACTACAAACTTATCAGGTTTGATTTATATCATTGATTAATATATTCTCCTAGAAGGTATCAAACTCAATTAAAAGCCGTGTCCGCTCGAAAATAATCATAACTATCAAGAAGCCAGTAACTAGGTATGCTTACAACTGCCTGCCGACCACTGACTTTAGGTGTCAATTTTGCCACCTCCCGTTGAGAGATTCTTAGAATACAACTTAGGAATAATTACGAGTTGTGTTGAGTGCGATATTCCCTCGGAAGGTTGATGTTATCTTTAAGAACAAAAATATCCGTTGAACGAAAAATGTATTGTTTCTGTTATTTCTAAGAGAATTACTAGGGTCCTAACATGATAACATATAAGCATAACGTTGGGCCGTGCCGAATATAGAACTTGGTTTTGAAGGGACTGACAGGCTGTCAAAGTTGAGCGTTTTTGACCAATAAAATATAGGGCATTAAACCTAAAAATATGACCATTTTTTTAAAGAAATGTCTCATATTTTATAAGATATTCGGATAGACCCTCTAAAAAGAAGAAAATTGATAGCACTCCGATGAGTGGTTGAGTTATAATGTTCAAAAACGCTCAACTTTAACAGCCTGCCAGATCTCCATAAAGTACTCATAAAGCTTCAAAATGAGGTACCACTCAACCGCCCATTCTATTTGAAAAAATTGTCCAATTTCAGATTGCTGACTTTGACCCGTTCGAAAAACAAGTAGAGGACTTTTGAAAAGCTCTGTTTATCTATCCATGAGATACGAAATTACTATTAAAGCATTAAAACAGGTTTAAAATACCATCAACGAATTTCAAAACCCATATACGGGTACTCTTGTTATACATATCGATATTTACGAGTACTTTAAAGCAAGAACAAAAGATAGGACAATGCAGTATTTCTAGGTCCGTAGCTGGAATTAATGTTTCGGACCTAGAACTCGTAATTTTCTGGACTAGCCTGTTACGAAACCTCTAGTCCGTCATCAACGAATTTAGCCTAAGTAGAAGAAGCCAGTTAAGCAATTCTTTGTCTTCTTGTTTTCATAGTCTCTAGTGAGGATCAAAGTTCACTTGACATGTCAATTTTTCGAGATTTCTGTCATTAAATTCGTATAATTAGTGTTATACTTAAAAGTTGAAGTGTTCGCAGATAATAGGTAATTCGACTAAATATTAATTTGCCCAGAACATGATCAGTATTTTGTACCGTGTAACGTTTGGGCAAGCATCATCCCTCCCCCAATACATGTTAAGAACATTATGGCATCAACTTAATTAAACCAAATTCATTGCTTTTAGGTTTTGGTTGTTTTATGCAAGAACACATTGTAGACCCCCAATCCTACGGCATCTACATTGTAGACAGGAGGTTCATATCTTTAGAAGATTCAGTGCAACAATTAGCCCAATATATGTACGATTTTGCTAGGCTTAGCAGGAGACAAAGAATAATCCAGAGAAACAGGACGGAACGTTTGAGTGATCTGTTAGATTGGAGAAACTTAGGCGTGGTAAGTGAGACACCGCTTGAGATAAAACTATCGTCGGGCACACTAAATCGCGCGGTTTTTTCTTTCTATATTACGTTGGTACTTCTGTTTGGTTTTTCAATAGTGTCTCGTTTTTTTATACAGTACTATCGGCAAGCTCGAATGAAAGCATTACACAGCGTGTTCCCCGATTACAAAGAAGAATTGGAAGCGGGTATTGGTACTTTGAAGTATCCGAGACCGATTTCGGAACCGCCGTCTCCTAGTACCAGTCGAGGTACGACACCTGTTGCTTCCAGGCATGGATCTGACGACGAGAGTGATTCGGTCGACGAGGAAAAAGAGGTAGGTAGTTTTTTGGGATCCCTGAGTAAAACTTATATTTCTTTCATTTGAAAGTGACATACGGACGCTAATACCGCAAAGACAATGTCGTATATTCGATGTTATACGGACACTAAATACACAGTGTTGATGCACCGTTAGTACTGTTCAAATTCAAATGATTTTTTATCCTGTTAGGCATTAAAATACATGTATAGGATTCGTTAACTTTGATGTATATAAATAAATAAAATAAAAACGTATATAACAAACAACATAACAATTATAAACAAATTCTGAGTCGGCATAATAACACTTGACACAGATACAATGAACTCTTTCAACTTAGCTTTACATTGATTGATATTGGACCATTCATTAATATCATTTGGTAGCTTATCGAATATTTTAGGTCCAGATATGTCAGGACATTTAATACCAACATTTTTGGTAAAAGCCACACTCAAATCGCTAAGCTGCCTGGTAATACAAAGTTTATTAATTTTTCAATTTGCATACGACTAATATTAGCATTGACAACATCGCAATTTCGAGCGCTTTCTGCATTATTACAGAAATAAAGAAATGTTTTCTGGAGGGTTTGTGTCTGAGGAGCAAACAAAATTACGGATGGGGTGTGGAGCTCTAAAGGATGAGAAAACGTGTTTTTTGGGATTCAATCAAAAGTGTTGACAGGAATGAAAAAACTTTTTAAATAAGATTTTTAGGTATTTATGAAACCTACAAAATGAGACCACAAGTGAAAAGATCCGACTAATAGCAAAAATGTTATGGTCGAAAAACGAGGCAAAATGCAGGTTTTGGCAGTTGTTGGTAATGCGACGCAACTACTTCAAATTCTTCAAATCCGTAGGATTCATGCTTCTACATAACAACAACAAAATTGGAGTATATTAGTCAAATACTTTTTGAGAATTTCCAATTGTGTATCCCAAAAACACCTGTTTTCCGGCCATCACTACTAGTTTATTGAGCAACATACAGGGTTGGTTCAAAGAGCATTTATAGCATGATACACGAGTTTACCTTGCCGATATTAATCACAAACCATTCCGAACGATAAATGTTATTTTTATGCGAAAAACAAAGGTTACGTTTTTTTCTTCTACACAAATTCAAACATTTCGAATTTGTGAGTAATTGAACAACTGCGCTATGATATTCTAAAAACATACTTTACATATTTTATAACAAAGCGGATGTGTCTATCATCTTTTGTTGCGATTTACTCACAAATACGAAATGTTTGTATCTGTTTAGGAGGAAAAACGTAACCAATCCTTTTTTTGCATAAAAATACATTTATCTTCATCAATTTTCTCGAATGATTTCGAAAATACGAGCCCCGGCCTGAGGACACCCGTAATCAGAATATGTTTACTCATGTTTAGTTTTATAGACGGAGATCTGGAATAACTAATATTGATATTATCTTTCAGCTCGAGGAGTTACGTCAAAAGTAAGGTGGAGCAATGTAGTGGTCATAACTGCGTATTGTAGGCAATATTTCTTTTTTTATAAGACTTTATAGAAGGATTATTTTGTGCAATCCTAATGGTAAAATCGATGAACTCACGTTACATATTTAATATAAAATTTAAATTGAGCTACTCTCAATGGGCAGTTTTCTGATTATCCAGCACTGGCACACCATTGGGTATTTGTAAATGAAAATTGGCAGCTATCTCGAATATTTTTTTGCCTAGAAAGTCAAAAGCGGAATAAAGTGTTTCAGCAAATTTTGTAAAATAAAGGATTTTATGAATATAAGGATGTTTGATTTGAGTATACATATTTTAAACTATTTAAGTCGTTTTTATCCATACTGTGCTGTTCATTGATTATACTATGCTCAATGCTCATATTATACTCATAAACTCGTATTTTTTAGTAATCGAGTCTTGCGTACTGATATCTTGCCATTAAAAACAATAGTAGTGTAGTACAAATTGTTGTGGAGGTGCTCATCAACGTGCTTTATTTCGACAAGTATTGTCATATAAATTATGTGTTTATCTTTAAATGATAATTTTTCCTCAAAACATACATGTCTTAGATATATTTTATTTAAAAACCATTATATGATATACAGAAAATGTATTGTATTAGCAGTTGAAGCATATCCAAATATATATTTTTTATTATGTTGTTTTTGATATCACCTGTGGCGTGTAATCTGGTTTTATCGCCTCTGTCAGTAGATCTGCGTACATGTCCAGTCTCTGGGTCATCTAAAAAATAAGATGGGTGAACCATTTTGATGGAACCGCCTATCAAATGCACGATAATTTGATAGTTGATGGCATTTTGAATCGCAAAAATAATATCTCCTATCTTGAGATCACGTTTCTCGCAAGAAATGCACATGTTCCTTTACTCCATTGGACATTGAGCTTAATACCATTTACGATGATAAGAAAAATACTGTTCATACCTGGAAACCCCAATGGTCTTTTACTTGTCTACATAAGTTTAAATCTAATTCAGCTACCAACAGCCCATTACTGGTTCTTGAAAGTCCCTGTAAGAAGTGTTACAAATTAATATCTGTAATACTTACGATACGTAAAATCATTAAGTATCGAAATGCCCCTGATACTAAATTCATAGGGAATAAAAATAGTTACTCTCGAATTGGTCTGGTTACGTTTTAGAATGTTTGGTGTTTCTGAGTTAAGTTTTTCGAGATAACTGGAGTAGTTGAAATTTGGTTAGCTATTTCAGCTGGCTTAAAATGTTCAGTATTCTGTTTTTTGAATTAGTAGCAGAGCTCGGAATTAAGGTCCTTGTCCATTTTCTTTGTGGCGGACGTTAGGTCTGCTCGGGACGCATTCAATCAACTTTCTCATTCTGTAATGACGTTCAGGTTAATTTAGAACAGTTCTGAAGTTATCAGTTTTCTGTTCTTTTGCGAACCGTCCGAGGATCGTGCTGAACCAGAAGCTACTTATGAGGTAGAACCATTGATTAGCGCACTCTCCCCGAAGATAGTCAACCATATACTGTATTCTAGCGTCAAAAAAGTCAAGTACTCTAGATAGTCATAACCACAACTGACCTATATTAATCTTGATCCTCATACCGTTTTTACCTTTGGCTTTTTTAATATGCGAGCATATAAAGCCCGCCATTCACTTGTCGAATGCGACAAAATCGAACTCAATTTGATCGTATTTTTATTATCCGTACGATTTGACCGCAGTCAAACAAGTAAATCTGCAGCAGTACAACACTGTTGACTGGATCGTTTATTTGATCGTGTATTGCGACGTGTTTTTCAAGTATGATTTCGGTTCGGAAAACAGCGAAACACACGCAAAAACAACCTAAATTTGGCACATTTTAATGATATTTCTCTGTCTGCGCATATTTAAAGAAATGGTTTACAATGAGGACTTTTTAAGAGAATTTTTTGAATTATATAAAGAGCAAGAATTACTTTGGAAAATAAAATTGCTGCTTTATCACGACAAAATAGCTAGGATCCATCCGAACGTAGTTTCTGCAGTCATCTGGATATAAGGTAATTTTTCCAATAAATGAACATGACTGTACGTATGCCGTTTAAGAAACCAATTTTTACACCCCCATCTACGTTCCTTATTTTTCCTTTTACTTTTAGTAATATACAAAATGCAAGAGCCGCTAAAACTAGATTTTCATCGGCCATGTTTCAAATCAAAACTAATACTGCAAGATCGTTACATGTGTGACCTTATCCAATTTTCGACAGTCGTACAGCAATCGCATTCGACAAAATAGTACTGCGGCGTTGGATCGTAAGTGACGGGCTTAATGTGCAGTTATGCCTTTAGAAGTAAGCTGGCGTGTAAAAAATAATTTGTTATGGAAATACCCGTTAAGTAAGCGACAGTCAGTTTGACGGTTTTTATAAGCACTGATATCTCGTTTCACCAGTTCTAAACCTACGTATAACGTTAGGGTTACTATGACAAAAACCTACATAATGTAAAATGTCAACTTGGGCTAGTGTGCCACTTGTTCTTTCCACGTGTACTACAATTTTGCATGAAGTAAATGTCAAAGGTGACATTTTATAGGGAAACCTAAATCAAATCCAAGCGAATAACCAAAATTTCTGTGTTATGTGCCGCGGTTATAATATGGTTGAAGATGACACACGGGTTGATGACGTCAGTTACACGAATCGCTTGAACGCGTTGGTTTTAACCGCGGTTTTGTTGCTAGTTGTTTATTTTAGAAAAGCGCGTATATAATCTCTGATTATTTTTATTATCACTTAATAATCGGTGCTTTTTCGTCTACAACTGTATATGGAAAGTTTAAATAAGAAACCTTTCATAATATTCATGGGAGAAATGTTTTTTTCAGATTTTTTTTTAATGATGGAACCATGGCTTTGTAGCTATGATAACTTTCAATTCTCTAAATTTTTCCGCATGTCAAAGAAAACATTTATTGATTCAGCAGAAATGATGAAAAAAGAAATTAGCAAAACCGTATACAGGTGGATATCATCTAGTGAGTTTATATGGCTATATTTTAATATTCTTGTGGTATATGGCTACACAGGATACTTTGTAAAGCATAGGAACTACATTTAAAGTGTCCCCAACAACCGTAATGAGTATAACTAATAAGGAGCTCCACTTTATGGTAAAACTGAAGTCAGCCTCTATCAATTTTCTCAAAAATGAAGCTGAAGTACAATAACAATATCCAATACCCGGCAAAATTCTAACTTGACTTAACTCTTGAGTTGGGTAAATACCACAATTTTGCGGTGATAACTATGACGTATAACAGCTGATTCGTGACGTCACGGATCTTATAACCAAACTGATAACTACACTCGCTTGAACGGATCGGTAAATACCAACCCAAAATGGTAAATACCATTTCCATTTGGTTATCCGCTTGAATTTGATTCTAAATAATATCAAAAAATCTACGTCATAAAAAAATGTCACTTTTTAAGTTTCGTAATATCAGTACAGTTCTCGGAATATTCTACAATGCAAACAGTTCTGTGTAATATTCGAGTGGTGCTAGTACAGTTTTACACTAGTGATCGGTTGACAAACCTAAAGGATATTAGGTACAATGAGCAAATAACTTACCGGAGTTCTAGAACCGTTTGGAGCGGCAATATAACTGGACCCATAAAAATGCCCAAAGTCCTTATGGGCGGGCTTCCCATCGCCTGACGTAAACTCATTCGCAAACGTTTCGGTGCCCACCCTGTTGATTGCGCAAGCGTAGTACCCGTTTGCAATGGCCGCATTCCTTGCTTCGATTCCCCAAAGGGGTTCACTTAGCTGCCCTACGGTTGCCGAGGGATTGAAGACTATTTCAGCCCCGTTTAGGCCGAATCCCAGCCAATTTAAGGGGTGGTGACGACCGTAGCAGATGTTGATGGCCAATTTGCCAAACTCAGTCTGTAAAAAAACGAAAAAGAAAAAATTTGTTGATGGGAAAAGAATTTTTTGATAAACTAGGCACTACAATGATCTACACGCTTCAGCAATTACCTACTTCCAAACAAACCAACTTGTATTTAATAAGTATAAGAAGTTGTTGCTTGCTTTCATCTTTTGTTTATTTTTGAGCTCAAGACTGCAAATAAAGCATCAGCAGCATGTTCAAACATGTCGGGTTACTGAAATGATAATTCCTAAAACGAAATTTTTAGTAATTGGCATTTACATGTTTGATAGCTCATGATAAATTGAGAAAATGGGGGTGTAAGTGCGAAAATGTACTAAACTCAAAAAGAAAAGGTTATCTTGTAGTTAAATGAAAAGATTAAGTCAAAATTGGAATAATTCTAATCAAAATAAACACAAAATATGAATCTCTATATGTTCGAACAGATCTTGAGTTTGACAGTAACCTACCCTATTGTAAAAGCCTGAGCGAACGATTTCTGGTGTAACATATTTGCATCGCGGCAGATCGCACGAGATTATGCGTCACCGTTGCTTGGCAATGTGATAACCTTCGCTTTTAAGCCGGATTCTGTCTCTTTCTAACATGTGTTGATACACACTTCTTGTACACATTGAACTCAAGCCGTCAGACAAATTTGGTTTTCCCTGCATATGATTGTTTAATATGAAAATAATAATACATATACTATGTTCTTTGCAAAGTATAACAGCTAAAGCAGGTAGGTCATTATGATGGTGGTAGTGCATTGAAGGCGATAATACAACGCACCGCTAGGTTGTATACCACTGCTTATATTCAAGATATGCACGGGCTTATAAAATGTTTACTTAAACACAGATCCGGAAATGCATGGTTTCAATAATACGGATTGTTTAAAGTTGCTCGATAGTTCTTCTTATGTACATTTCTCGGGAACAGATTGAGATAAGGTGATGAAAACATGTTGTTAAAGATTTACATTTACAAAATTAGTTTCCCACATCAGTGGCATGCAAGCCTGCTAGTCTATACGTTTAGTGAAAATACAGTACGCCCTAATATTTGAAAAACATAGTCAGTATCATTGACAGATTGATTGTACTTATAAAGACTGTCTCTTGCAGTTTTTTGTTCACCGATCGCGAAATAAAAATAAATCGTATTATTAACCAGAACACCAATCTGTTTATCGTTATTAAAAATAGTAATAAAGTACGCACTTTTTTACAAATATAACTGGAACTCCAAAGAAACACTTTTCCAGCAGAATCGATATTGCTTTATGAAAACGATAGCGGACTGGTTTAAACATTCCGTTTCGTGGAATTGGTAATTTTGAGATTCATACTTTCCAAACTTTTTTCATAATTTACGTGATAAATGAGCCCTTAAATTTGCCTGTGAACATTGTATTTCTGTTACCTTAAATACAGGATGACCAGTGTTTCCTTCAAAATAGTAAGTGGATTCATTGAAATCTCCGACCCGAGGTATGTGATTTTTCCTGTGCTTCCCCAAATAGTCACCATGATTGTCGATGACTACAGCTGTATTCCAGATTGTGTCATTATGTACTTCATCTCTCTCCAAAATGGGTGAAATAATCACCATATTGTATCGTTTTGCTAACTAAAAATTATATAAATATTTTATTATGGAGGAGTAGAGAAATATGAAATATGTTTTACTTCTTTCAAAAAGCTGGTTGTTGAGCCGTGTTCAGCAATTTCAGCATATTCGCACCAATGTTGCTTTTCTCGCGTACAAAAGGCAAAAGGCATATCTGAAAATAGTTTAAAATTTGCAGTTTAAATATGTATCATTCATTACTTCTAAAAGTATTGTATCATCAGGAAAATCAATGAAATTAGAAACATTCCGAAGTATGTAGAAAAAACTTATTGTAATTTTTGTACGTGCTCGTGGTTCCTGTATTTCTTCTGATCCAGCGAAATTATGTATGCTACAAATACGCAAACAATTCTAATGAAGGGTAGTTATGATAACCATATTTAAAAATGAAATCATTAATCAAATTCAAGCGGATAACCAAATGGAAATGGTATTTACCATTTTGGGTTGGTATTTACCAATCCGTTCAAGTGAGTGTAGTTATCAGTTTGGTTATAAGATCCGTGACGTCACGAATCAGCTGTTATATGTCATAGTTATCACCGCAAAATTGTGGTATTTACCCAACTCAAGAGTAGTTTTATATTTCTGGTTATTATTTGAAATGTGACAAGTTAGAATTTTGCCGGGTATTGGATATTGTTATTGTATTTCAGCTTCATTTTTGAGAAAAATGATACAGGCTGACTTCAGTTTTACCATAAAGTGGAGCACCTTATTAGTTATACTCATTACGGTTGTTGGGGACACTTTAAATGTAGTTCCTATACTTAACAAAGTATCCTGTGTAGCCATATACCACAAGAATATTAAAATATGGCCATATAAACTCACTAGATGATATCCACCTGTATACGGTTTTGCTGATTTCTTTTTTCATCATTTCTGCTGAATCAATAAATGGTTTCTTTGACATGAGGAAAAATTTAGAGAATTGAAAGTTATCATAGCTACAATGCCATGGATCCATCATTAAAAAAAAATCTGAAAAAAACATATCTCCCATGAATATTATGAAAGGTTTCTTATTTAAACTTTCCATATACAGTTGTAGACGAAAAAGCACCGATTATTAAGTGATAATAAAAATAATCAGAGATTATATACGCGCTTTTCTAAAATAAACAACTTGCAACAAAACCGCGGTTAAAACCAACGCGTTCAAGCGATTCGTGTAACTGACGTCATCAACCCGTGTGTCATCTTGAACCATATTATAACCGCGGCACATAACACACAAATTTTGGTTATTCGCTTGGATTTGATTATTGTGCACGTGATTATTTTTTACAGAAACGCCAAGTGAGGTTGTGTTGCTTGAGTTGAATTTTTATCCAGTTAACAGTATCATATTTCATGTAAATGATGTCAAGTAGGATGACTCTGCACTTCCTAGGCAACGCCATCATCAATTCATAAAGGATTAAGTTCCGAGCAATTTAAATCCCCTGATAACAATTCACGCAAGACGCAGAAATTAAACGGCCCACACAATTAGTCCATAGACATTCTTTCCCTGCCCTATAGTAGGTACTGTCCGTTTGGCAACGTCGTGCCTTTCCATATCTGCGCGACATCGCTGCGTCGGAATGTGCTTCTATCTTCTCTCGTACACATTCTGACGTCAGTGGTATTTAGTTTTCACTGTATCTTGGGTTCAGGGGGGTGACCTTGAGCAGGAGTAAGCGGATCGAAAAAATATATCAGCATTTTTTAAAGGCAACTGTACTATTATACCAAGTTCAAAAAACGTCTAATACCCTCTCCCACAGCCTACAACCCCTAACCCTCGAATTTCAACCCCTACAAAAAATTTCCGAAAATGATCAGGAGCCTCTGAAACGTCAAAAAACTATGTTCGGGCAATTTTTAATTTTTTCGTTTTTCGCCCCCCACTCTGCCGCCACTGGACCGATTTTCATTCATTATATCGTAGCAAAAATGCTTAAAGCGCGCCGCAATTGTGATGGGCTAGCTTTTTTCCGAATAGATAATCAAGTACCGTACAGCGGTGTTACTTTACCATTGCAGGTTACTTTGCCAAGAGTTGCATTTTCCGATAAAAAAATTCGCGCGTGAGAGTTGGCAACACTGGCGACCACGTGCTTCAGGAATCTGCCCGCTCAGACTAGTTGACAACAGGTATTCGAACGGTTAATGAGTGTATCATTTACAAAAGAGCGGTGGTGTTTATGTCAATAAATGGTAAGAAATTTACATTATTTTAATCCCAGAATGCTAAGGGTTGTACCAGATACATGTTTAATACTAGGGGCATGCTATTATTATTTACTTGTAGGGTATTTAACTGAAATAAAAATTTGTAAAAAAATAAGGCGAAAACCTAAATGATTTTTAAGGTAGAGTTAAAAATATAAAAATATGTAACCCTGCAGGGCACTGGCAGGTTACTTTGCCAATTAAAAAAAATAATAAATTGCAGCTTTTAAGATCTTTTTTCTATTTTAGGATGACAATGAGTCGGGCGTAAAAAAAAAAGGTACAAGAACCTATAGAAATTACACTCAAGAGACGTTAAAAAATGCCTTAGGAAGTATCAGACGTAAGGAACTAAGTCTCCAGGAAGCTGCTGATCTGTACAAAATACCTAGAAGGATACTATGGACGAAACTTCATAATAGTTTTATTTTTAATAGCTAGCGAAAGAGTTCCTTGTGTTTTTCGTTCCTCTTCATATTAGAGAGTTCCTTTGGGTACTTAGTATGCATTGTTTAGATTAGTTACCATAATACGGGTTTTTTTATAGGTACTCACCTACCTATCCAAATATTTTTCAAAAGAAAAATGTCTCTATTAGTAAGTTTAGTTAAGTTAATAAGTTAATGTTCTACTTTTGATATTGTAAACTGAAAGACTGAAGTTTATGGGTATTTTTGTATGTTTATCAAAGAATAAACGTTGTTTTTTAACATTTTTTTCTTTTTTCCTGTAAAAAAAATTTTAAAAACTTAAATTGTGGGCAAAGTAAACTATAGAGAGGCTTAAGTTGACACCTCAGTCAGTTTAAAGAGCAGTGGCAAAGTATCACCGATGTCCGGGTAACTTTGCCATTTTTTTAAACAAAAATAAAAAATATATCCGGGCATAAAAAAACAAATTTGAATGTGGGAATCTGTAGCAAAATAACTGAAATTATACATAGTTTTTTTTCCAAGAAAATATAGCAAAAAATAAAAAAGTTAGAAAAGGAAAAGTGCAAAAATCGTTGCAAAGTAACACCGCTCTACGGTATATCAATTATTGACATGCTAGTATTCCTGCAAATGAGAGCGATTCGCGTGAATGTAATCATGGGTCGAGGATAGACTCACTTGACAGAAAGTTATTACAATAACAAAATTCAAAATTAGTTTCATCGCAGGATGCTTGAAAAACATCAAAATTGCTTCGGATGCGAAGAATGCCTTATTATACTTACTCCACGCTTCTTGGAAACAAAAAACATTTACTCCTGACAGTGCAGCTACTTCTAGTGCCTCACTTGCCATTTTGAATACTGCCTCTCTCATTTCTTTGATAGCTGACCACGTTGGCAAAGGAGTTTTGTGTTGAAATAATCCCACTCGGACAATTCTTGGAGGTCGCAATTCTTCTTTGTTGCACGAAAATCGGCAACCAAGAAGCTGGATATTGTACTTCTCAGATAAAGCATTCGGCTTTTGTGGTAAATTCAAATCACTATAAAGTGTAATAAAAGGTTATAACACCTTGTAAAAGCCTGTTTCGAACGCTTTACAATAATTTAGTATATCACCGCTGGATTGTTCAAAAGGAATTTAAAGCCACGTTTTCTATTCTCTTTATTTTTTTATTGTCTCGATAGTGATGGTAAAACACTAAGTTGAGAAAACTATTAAAATTTTTAATTCCTGCTGCATTATCTAAACTCCAGTTAGGCTTCAATTTCATTGTATCCAACGCGTGTTACGCCACTGTGATGTAATTTAACATGAAAGAAATTATATACTAAAAGCGTAGAGTTGAAACTATGATATAGGTACTTACTCGGTGCCTTTGCCATATAACACCCTTTTAACAGTATCACACTCATTTTTTGGTAACTTTTCAAGAATTTCCTCGATACTATCGAATTCTTGTATCTCTGCCATTGTGTATGTATTGAAATTAATGCGCGAATCACGAGAAAACAGTGGAAAATAGAAGCTCAACAAATATTCTATAAATAAAACGTGTTTTTGGATATATCTTGATACCTTTCACTGCTATATGGTGTGATATCAGGGCGATATTGTGGTCTGTATTTATTCAGACGATACTGATAAAATTGTATACGATTTTAAATGGTGCTGGTGCAGCTTATTATGAATTAACTTGGATATGGAATCTGGAGTGTTTTATAGAGGTGCTGAAAAAGTAACCATTCGTTACTCGAATACTCGTCACTCATAGATACTCGAAGTAACGAGTATCAATCAGAGCACTTTGACTACTCTGTTTTTTGTTATCACTGTAGCACTGTCGCTCATCCATCAGGGTTCCCAGACATCTCACGCATTCGGGTGGAAACCTGGAAACTCCAGATTTGAAAACAATTATCAAATTATGTGTCCACCAATCTCCAGTCAAAAAAAATTAAGTGTACCGATTTACACCGTGACCCAAATTCGTTCTTATGGTTGTGATATTGGCAACCTGAAAAGGAATAAGGAGTCGATTGGAATTGGAGCAAAGTTCGGCAGTGTTATGAGTCAGGCGGAGCCAGAAAAGCGACAACAGGGTAACAGCAACGATCACGAAAACCATAAGAATAAAAATATATCAGTTTGATTCCCGTGTATGTACTTTAATAATATCACCGTCGTCTTTTGTTACAATCTGAAATACTGCAAAAAATGGGTCAGTCCCGCTTATATTCTGAATTCGATGTCAAGTTAGGTCTAGGATTTACTACCAATTTTTCATCCCAAATCGGGTCCGATGGCACTTTAGAATTTTTCATTATGATACTTATACAAGGTGATTCACAAGTCGTGACCAAAAATGTAACATCATACACAGGACCGCATTTAAAAGGGGGTCTTATATGCAACATTTTTTCTTCGAGGGCCTCATCAAAAATATACGGGGGTTTAAAAATAAAAAACAGTTTTTTTATATCTTCAACACCGTCAGCTGAAATGAACTAAAATTTGGTATGTGGATTTTTCTAAATCTTGTCCCCTTTTAAAAGTCTTTTCTTAAAAGTTAACGTGCACCAGTGGCGGAGATACAGGGGATTAGTGGCATTATTTTTCCAAATGAAAATAGTACCTACGCCACTGTTTTTTTTTTCGAAACGCGCAATTTTTCTAGTTTTTTTGCACGGTTTTCGTAAGTCTTGCGTGGAGAATTTTAAATCGGGAAGTTTCACATCCTCACCATCGGCAAAATGTGCAGTGTCTGCAAGCCGCCGACGAAGTACAACGGCGAAATTTTTGTGAGTGATCAATGCATAATAAAAATACAGATTTTAGTGATTTTGTTTTGTGGTCAGATGAATCGCTGTTTACGAGGCGTGGAACCTTTAATTCTCATAATGAACATATTTGGTTGTTAGAAAATCCCCGTTCTGTAAGAATCCACTCGTGGATTGCTTTTTGTGGGGCGCTTTCAAACAACTACGGTGTATGCTGAACAAATTAATACTGTTGATCAGTTACAAGAAAGAATAGATAATGCGTTTCATCGAATTCAAGCCACAACAAATTTTGCGGAAAAAACGTATAGTTTTGCAATGTTTCGCTATGTAATCAGATCTACATGTTTAACCGGATTAGATACATGTGAAATGACATCGGATTTGACTTTAGCGACTCAAAATATGTACGATAGAGGTCATTTGAACCGCATTTTTAGCATTTCAATTTTTAATCACCATGTTATAGTTCCAAAACTGCAAAAAATTGGTTAGTCGGTAAGGTGAGCCCAACAACATTTTTTGGGTCTCTGCAATCGAATCTGTGGCCCATACAGTCCGAGAAAGCCAAGACCACTTGTAAGAAAAAATACTCCCACAACTCTCTTGGCGTCTATGCGGTAGAACGTTAACGACTCTGAACACTTTTAAAAATTCCCAGGTTTCGGTTTGATCGTAAAGTGGTAGGCAGAGTTGCCAACCGTACAGATTACAGTTTTTCAAAAATCTTTCATATTTACAGTTTTTTGTTTAGGATGCTCGCGCCATCTGTTTTGTTTACTACGAAGTCGGAAGTCCATACAATAACTGGTCTTAGTAAAATCTACCACTTGCCGATCGAATTATACGTAAAATCTACTTCCGATCAAATTCTTTTTGCAGCGATGCTGGTTCTGGTTGACTGAAAATGACAGAATTCAATTCATGTTTTGTCATTTTTATGTCACTCAAAGTCAACCCAGAATCAGAACCACTGCGAAAAGAACTTGATTCAAGTCAGAAATGTGCTATTCGTAAGCACGAGTACCATTTGGACAAATTTTAATGGAAATTCTGTCATTTTTATGTCACTCAAGGCCAGCCAGAACCAAGAATTTGCTGGCGGGATCTTGGACACGGTCACTGACAAGTGACGACACCTGTACGAACAGGGCTTTAAGAGGATAAAATATTTTCGCCTACTTCTATGGAAAAAAACAAAATTTTACTATATAAATATATTTAATATGTATCTGATCTTAAATTACATGATCATCAATATGAGAACTATGATTTTCATCTTCTCTACTATTTATTAGGGGAATACGGTTTTTGGTGACTGCATTCGCACTTGGGCGAGGGAAACCCCTAGAAAACCTCAGCCGTCACTGTTCAGATTAGTTGTATCAGGTGAAGAAAAATTAAGTCGTTCCACAATCTGGGTCCATTTGTACAATCGAAAATCTGTAATCCACCAGTATGCCACAGTTATTAACCTAAAAAAAAAGAGGAATTGAAGTAACGGTTTCTACGAGGGTCATTCTTTAAGTAAGAACCGTTTTGTATTCGAGTAGGAGAAATTTTATTTATGAATGTAAATTGTATCACGAACTAAAATATGAACGTTTTTTCATTTTTTAACACAGTCACCATAAACATTTACAAGTCAAGACGTGTTACCAGTTTTTGGTCATTGTAGCATCTGAAACTTTTTTCCTGTGGTTTTCATGTTGACTATTTCCCTAGTCTTAATTTCTACTAAACACAAACGCGCAATTTTGAATTACAAATGATTTTTAGATGGAAAAATTGTATCACAGCACCTGTTAGCACCATATATACTACTTAAGCGCATAAAAACCAAAATTATCTTTTTTTTGGACATCAATGGAAATGATCATTTTTAAGGAAAATAGATGTAAAACTAAAAAAAATGTTGTTTTTTTTGCCAAATAAGGTTGAAAACTAGTCATGTAATAAGCTAAATTGACAGATCAAAATACATACAATGATGGTATTTACTTCGTAAACTGTGTAGAGGTGTTGCGTTGTGGTTTTTCAATGTCTTCTTGAAATCCCTTAACCATTTTTTCGCGTATCTTCAATAAGATCAAAGTTTTTGCGTTTATAAGAAATGTTTGAAAGTAGAAACAATTCTTTACGGTCCTTTTGTTCATTTCTCCAACCAAACTGATGGATCATGAGTTTTTTATAGTGGCGTAGTGAGAGGCTGGCCGATAGTGTATGAGTATGAGACTGAACGGTCACGCTACAGGACGCGCAATTGGTTCTTCCTTAAAAAACGCCCCTCGCAGTTCACTGACATCTTTCTAATAAGTTGTTAGAAAAATAAAATTTGGTGAAAGCTTTCTTTTATGGTGTCGCTGACTTTCGCAATAGGTTTCATAAATTATATTTCCTGATAAGGTTGACTTATCGGGTAATACGTGAGTGAAACATGAAGAATAAATAAGTTCAAGATTATGTGAAAAAATACCTGTTCATTATTTCGATTATCAATTCAGTTGATATTCACATAACTTTTTGTCTCATCGTGTTAGCTTCCCAAACATGTCCCTCAATTTCTTCTCAATTTCTTCAAAAGTTGTATGAAAATCGTGAATATTTTTAGAAGCTTTTGTATTTTGTAAAACTTCATCAGTATATTGACACTAGACCATACTACTATTATCCACAGATTTATCTACAAAGAGAGTTCACATAAGTATTCCCATTTAAATAACACCTCTGCCTATTTTGAAACATCAAGCAGGTTGACTCTGTATTTACTTATTTAAGTATAGTTTGAGTGGAAACCTTTTGGGGTTCTTAAGGTAAGTTTAGGCAATACATCTCTTGGGAACGTTCCCAAGATACAGTTCTATCTATACTTCAGTGGTTTGTGAAGTTCAAAACCAACCTTCTTGATGCCATACTATCAGATGCTTACCCTGTAAAAATGTGATGTTCATTTGATTGCTGTTTTCATGTATTGCGGCATACTTTAATCATTCTTAACATGTTTCTATTGTTCCAATTCAACCTCTATCTTTACCCGACTCGTGTATGCCCAAAAAAACATTCATCCAGCTATCCAGGCATAACATTTTTTGGAACAGTTGCCTATACAAATCATTATCATCAATATTCATTATCTCACGTTTATCACGCTCGGGAGTATCTATAACGTATGCCATTCCTGAAAGCTCTAAAGCCTGATAGAAATATTTGAGCTATGATTCTGAAAGAAAACCTGAAAGTTTTGGAACAGCAGCTCTGTAAAATACGTAAAAATAAAAATGTGCAATCACATTTTAGCTAAAAATAGATATGTTCGTAAAATATCTACCTAATAGAAATAGTAAATACCAAATGTAAGCTAAAATTAAAATTATAATATATCATTATCATCAATATTTGTCACCATTCCTGATTATACGGAATACTCTCATTCTCACCTAAAAGCTGAAACAAATTTAAGAAAAACACTTGAGCTACGATTTTAAAGCATTAATAATCATAGACGACAGACCAGAATTGTGGTAACCCATTTCGCTTGTAAATATGTTTTCTCAATAAATAAAGGTGTTTTATCTAGCTGTGACAGTAAAATAGAAATATTGAATACCAAGTCTAATTAAAAATTCATGTAATAATAAATATAATTTTGGAGACCATCGCCGGGCCACAGCCTGGAGTGAGTACCCAAGTTTTGCAAACCACCTTGCATGCTGGGGCATCTTGCCTCATACCTATAGTGATCTACTACTAGCCCTACATCACTAAGTATTACCAGAACTACTACTGCTACTACTACTTCTACCACTACTGCCTTCTTATCATCATACTTCTGAAACCTGAACTTTTCACATGTCTCATCCGTCAGAAACACTGGACGATTCTACGTCAGCCACGTGTTCTGCAAGACATCTCTCCGAAAATGATTAACCACACGAACATATCTCTTCATTATTTCAATTGATGTTTCATTCTGCATGTATCAGCCTGCATCATCTTCAAGA